ATCACCTTCCTGGATCGCATCTTCACCAAAGGAAGCTTCGACAGCGAGTTCAAACTGGCCCTCAAGGTTGACGGACACAAGGACATCAAGATGCCTGACGGCATTCGGTCAGTAGTGGCAGGCTTTTACAATTATAACCATTCCTTCGGTGTTGAATACTGAAAGACTCCTGATGACCTCAACCAGTAAAGTTTGCTCGTAATTTTGATTTGTTACAGGCGTGAGGAGTTCATGCACTGGGTAGAGATGCTTCCCGACACTCAAACTCCATCTTGGCTCGGGTTGCCTAGCAATGCTGAGAAGGTCCTGCTCACCACTCAGGGTATGCTGCAACCGGTCGTCTTCATCATCTGTACTCTGTTGTGTTTTGTCACAGCGACGGGAACACAGCACATCCTTATTCTTCTATCTCATTCTGTCTGTTCAGATGTCATGTATTCACAGGACCAATCATTAACCATCTCTCTCTCTATTCTAGTGTCTTAACTCTTACTTTGACAGGGTGTCCCAGTGCAGTGGAGTGGTTGAGATCTCATATTTTTGCACCTGCTTTGGGCAGAATACTGTGTGTGGTGGCAAAAAATGTGTTAAGGATACGCCTGCTAATCTCTTATCTTCTCATCAGTTCACTTCAGCACTTAGTTTTCTATGGTTTCAGAAGTAGCCCCTAGTTTTAGTCTTAGTAGTAGTAGCCTAGCTGTAGTTCATAGCCATCGTACTTTAAAAGGTGCTCTGCCTAAAGGATGGGTGTGTGTCACCTCACCCTCCAGCAGCTGTATTTCACAGCCATCATGTCGCTTTGCTGAGATATTATCCCCACCCTGCCCTCAGATCAGGATTCAAAACAACCACACAGCTCCCCGATCCTTTTTGCTCCCCATGATATCCTTCCCTGTTTTGTCAGATTGCTTTCGACAACTCTACCAAACTCCCACAATCCCAGTGCCTGAAGCATCTACCCCTTGGACCACCCTCCACACTCCCTCTCCTTTTCATCCTCACTCCCATCCCTTAGTTTCTCCTAAAACCCGACACCCTACATTTGTTGCATTCATTTCTTTTACAGGTCCAGTCCGTCAAGAATGTGGTTAATTTATCCATTTTGGAACTGTGTTGAATGGCTACGTTTGATGGAAATGTTGCCTTAAGCCCTGTGTGTCTTTCGTCCTACCCAGTGTAGTCCTAATTTGTTTGTCTGTCTGCCACAAATTCCTTTGTGTTAAAACAAAGCTTTTATGAAAGCATCCTTGAGGTAAGCTATTTGTTTCTTTGTTCCACTATTAATTTCTTCTCCTCCCCACCTGCCACCATGGCCTTGTTTTCCACTTCTCCCCCACCTCCCTCCCTCCCCGCTCACTCGCTCCCTCTGCCGGGCTGCGCAGGCATTGACATGATGGGTAAGATGCTGAAAATGCAGATGTTGGAGGATGAGGATGACCTTGCCTATGAGACGGAGAAGAAGGAGCGCGCTTCATCCACATCTGATGCCCAGCCGGCCTGGATGAGGACCCTTCACACTACTGCTTGCAACTGGCTGCAGCTCATGCCTCAAACAGTCAATCCACTCAAACGCACAGTGGAGAACATCAAGGTAATGGCAGAAATAAGAGGAAAGGTGGTTGACAAGCAGACTTCAGGAGACAAACCTAAAATAATGTGTGTTCACTACAAGAAGCTGCACAACACCCTTTATGTTATGTGTAAAATTATTGTGCTTGACTCGAGAGGTAACGAGGTAAAATGAAAAGAAGTAAAAACATTTAAATTTCAGTAGATGAATACGTACTTGCTCTTCTGTGTATCACTGATGCATCTGCCAAGCTTCTGCATTTGATTTAATATCTTCTTCATCCCAACACACAACCACCAGGACCCACTGTTCAGGTTCTTTGAGCGTGAGGTGAAGATGGGCGGCAAGATGCTGCAGGAGGTCCGCCAGGATCTGTCCGATGTGGTGCAAGTGTGTGAGGGCAAGAAGAAGCAGACCAACGACCTGCGCACACTCATCAGTGACCTTGTTAAAGGTAAAATCTTTTTGTTTTTCACTCTGATTTTGTTTGTTTTGTATAGGTTTAGCTTACTTGTTTGAGGACGAATAAATTAATAGATGGAAATCACTACACACTTAATTCTTTATTGTCTGTTTTGACCAGCAAGACGTCATTGAACAGATTATACTTTGAGTGTATAAGTAACTATGGTATACATTTGTCTGTGCAGGCATCCTCCCTCGCAGCTGGTGTCGGTACACAGTCCCAGCCTCCATGACTGTGATCCAGTGGGTGGCAGACTTCAGTGAGAGGATCAAACAGCTGCAGAACATCTCCCAGGGAGCTGCCAGCGGGGGTGCAAAGGAACTGAAGGTAGTTTTGGTTAGCTGTTTGTGTACAGCATCAACCACCCTGTGCGTCTGAAATAGTGTGATGGATTCCTCAAAAATTAACCAGGGCACTCATAGTACTATTATGTCCCTCTTCTCCCTCTCTGTCTCCACTTCACAAGAACATCCACGTGTGCCTCGGCAGCCTGTTTGTACCAGAGGCTTACATCACTGCAACGCGCCAGTATGTGGCTCAGGCTAACAGCTGGTCTCTAGAAGAGCTGTGTCTGGAGGTCAATGTCACCAGTGCCCAGGGCGCCACACTGGATGCCTGCAGCTTTGGCATCAAAGGTCAGACAAGTAGAGTCCAAAAAATACAGTAAAACAGCTGTTAAAGAAGTCGCCATTGGAATACAAGAACTGAAAATTGTCCATTTTGAATACCTTTTAAATCTAAAGAAAAAAGAAAGCTCCCATTTATACTATAGCTGCTTAATCATGAGTGTGGCAGTTACTCGCTTAACAGAAAAATATAAGTCCAGTTGTTGCCAAAAGATAATTGAGTTCTAATATAATGGAATATACTGTAAAATTTAGTTTCAAGATTTCTAATGTCAAACTTGCTCACTGTTTCTCCCAGGTCTGAAACTGCAGGGAGCTACTTGTGCCAACAACAAGCTGTCTCTGTCCACCACCATCTCCACTGAGCTGCCTCTGACTCAGCTCCGCTGGATCAAGCAAGGCAACTCTGAGAAGAGACACATGGTATGAATATGGATACACAACTGTACATCCATGAAGTTTAGTTTTGGTTTTGCTGTCTTCATCTTATTTTCTTCTTCCCACTATAGGTCACTCTGCCCGTTTACCTGAACTTCACCAGGTCTGACCTCATTTTCACTGTTGACTTTGACATTGCCACCAAGGAAGATCCTCATAGCTTCTATGAGCGTGGAGTCGCTATCCTGTGCACCGAGTAAATGAAACAAGTCATTCCTTAAGACCAGAGAGTCTTGATGATTAAACCACACTTAATCTCTCACATTCATTACCTATTAACCACCATTTTAAAAAGTAGTGTGTAACCTGTTGCATTCCAGTATAAAACATAGTTAGGGACATTTGTGGAACAGTAATGTACACATTCTTAGTGTTTTTGGAAAGTGTCTTAGAAGGTTGGGGGGATGTTGTCAGATGGTAAATGAGAAAATGAAATGTGGAAAAGGAAAGTTGAAAGGAAAACATGTTTTTATGAAAGATACTGTATGTTTTTAGATTGAATAAAGCCTGTTGGAAGGATGAAGATGATGCACTGCATTAATGACTTCAGAGTGGTCTTTGTGTACTAGTAAATGTTTGATTTAAAGTCAGTATCATACATGGTATTTACTGTCCCCTTTTTAATTAACAAGAGTGGAGTTTAGGTTTGCATACCCCTCAGGTCAACCACACTAAATATCCCAATTACCTGATCCTCAGACTTTCTCCTCAGAGTTATTTCATTTTGAGACTCCTACTTTCATACTGTGTCCATGTTCTCTCAATCACTGTGTTACTACCAAAGACTTCTTGAGAATAACTTCAAAGTCAATTACAAATTTACTGACAGGATCAAAGAGGAGAGGATAATGTTAATAGTTGTTCTTATACTAAAGGAAACTGACATGATGGACAAGGAAAGTCTGTCCTAATTGAAATATGTCTGAAGCCATTTTGGTGAGAATAGATTATTTGTCACTGTTCAAGAAACTTCTGATGAGAATACCAATCTTAGCTTCTATAAATTAAATTAGGGTCAGGAAACTGATATTGAACAGTATTGCACAGAATATACCCAAATATTTTCATATACTAGATTTTCACAGACTAGATGAAGGTGTGTGTTGCTCCCACCTGCTGGTTGGAGGGATAAACCTTAAACGTAGGAGTAAATGAAACTACGTAACTGCAAGCTACTGAGGAAAAGACGAATATGAGGAAGTTTCTCAAGGCTTGTGAATGGATTTAAGGTTTAAGGTCTTGTCTACAGCAAACATGGAAAAACCATGACACCGTTGACACCAAGACTGAGGAAAATTAAGTTAGTCTATTAAGTAATGTCTTTTGAAATATAGGCACTACATTGATTTCCAAGAGGGAATTTACATGGCCTATAAATCTACAGCACTGCAGGCTATGATAACTGAAGATTTATTTTCCAGTAAGACAACCCCAATCATAAAGCCAAAGCAACAGGAATGACAAACTGGTGAATACTTATGTCTAACATTATTTTATGCTCATTTAGATTGGTTTGGTTTGTAGAAAGTACATTTGAACAGCCTGTCAATTGAACAAAATGTAGATTTTAAAAGGGGCACCTGTGACTAAAATTCAGATGTAGTTACTGAATGCCATCTTAAAAATCAGACTGAAACTTTACTATCCAGTGCAGTGCTAGATACTTATTTAACAATTTGAACCCAAAAAAAGCTGCATCATTTTTTCTTTCATATGGTTTTGCTTTTATTGGAAAAATGTATAGTTTCTTCATTGCCAGTGCATAGGTTGTACATTGTTTTACCATGGGGGCCAGGTTACTAGGGTAATTCCTCCCAACAAAACAAAAATCATTATTGCTCAAAAAGAGGCGATCAGCACAATGTGTGACACCTGTGAGACATTCAAAATTACTGGAGGTAGAAAAATAAACCAAAGTGCATAAAGTAACTATTTACAGTATTTCATTCTGTCAGTCCATGGTCATAAAGACTCTAACATGGTTCAGATGCAGAGTCCCCTGCCTCTTGTTTGTCCTCCATGTTGACGACACACTGCCTCTTTCTTTGTGCCAGTTCCACCACTTCTGCTCCAGGGAGCCCCAGCTTTCTCTTGTAAAGAGATCTGAGGTTATATGGGCTGGGGGATCTCTCAGTAGAGCTATCCAGCATCCAGGACGAGCTCCCTCCCACTGGGGTGAGAGGTCCAGATGTGTGAGGTGTAGAGGATCTTGTGGCATGCAAGCCTGAATCATCAAGCTGCAATTCGATATCCATGGTTTGGGGATGCATTGTTGAATCATTTGCCATTTCTGCTGTAAGATCTCTACAACTATCCTTGTCACTGTGGGAGGGCAGAGTGTCAAGCTCACAGACCCAGAGCTCAGAATCACTCCCGCATTTCATCGGGAGATCCAAAAGATGTTGCTGCTCTGTTACAGGATCTCTCATCCCATTTTTCATCACTTCTCTGAGAGCAACAGAAGCAGGGTTATGAAGGATGAATCTCCTGCTCCGGCCTGAAAACCGACATCCCCCTCCTCCTTGTCCCTGGTGCCTTGTTCGCCTGGAGACACCAAAATCGATGTTTGAGTCATCCGAATCTTCAGAGCTCCCATCATACGGGTCCATAAACTACAGTGAAATTGTAATTATTTATTCATTCATAAACGCCTAGAAGAACAGGATATGTTTGCACCAAAAATTGATCAATTAATGAATGCAGACTGCTTACCAAAGAATAACAACCATGCCTTGCTGCAGGCTTCAGTGACAGTGTTCGACGCAATGTCCCACGCTCTGGTGCACTGCTCACACATCCCTGTTCCATGAGGAATTCAGTGATTTTTGCTTCGACAAGACAGTAATTCATTTTTAAATTAAAAAGCTCAATGCACGCTGGAACTCAGATAATGGGTATATAGGGCAAGTTTCTGGGGAAGAAATTAAATTTGATCCCATTTCAAAACTAAATTGGTGGTGAAATACAATGGACAATGTTCTATATCTGGTATTAGGTTTAACTTCTTTTTAAGCCATTTAATATATACTTATACCATATAAATATTGTCACTCCACTTGTACTTATTGTGTCATTGTGTGTACAAAGTTTGTACAAAAGCAATACCATAGTGCTGGTGTCCGACCATCTTGGACTGATTTCTGAGTCAGTATCAGTGCTGGACTCCATTTTACACATCTCCTGACAGAAAACACCAGTCACTCAAGTCCACATTTATATGTCAAAGCAAGATAGAGATTAAATGCAAGTGATTTACAACTTTTTCAGAGAATAGAAGACCTGATCATTCTCAAATATGATGATTTAATGTGCTTAACTCATCTCACCATGTATTTGAAAGCAAGTTGGTCCACGTTGTTGGGTATATGTCTCTCACTGTGACCTAAAATGGAAAAAAAAACAAAACATTAATTTGAAGTGCAATAATTATGCATCTAATGACATTCAAAAATACACCAAAACACATACATTTGAATTTTCTGTTGCAAAACATTAGGTACAAGGTATTAAATAAAATTAGAACGTAAAGCCATGCAGTACAAAAATACCAATTAAATCAATCGTCCAGCCCATGTTACACAATGTTAAAATAAAAGAATACTGATACCTACCTGGAAGTGAGCGTTGTCGTCTTCTTCTACATGCCATGACATTTGGCGCCTGTAACTTCTCTGGACCACAAAGAAGTAAAATACTGAAATAATGTTGCTGTGTAGCGAACTTGCAGATTAATTAACAGGTAAGTAGCAGGTGGCTTTAATATGATGCGAGCAAGTGTGGTCGCAGGTAAGCAGCGTGGGCACGGTACACAGCGCTGACACGAGTTCAAAAACGCTAATAGTTTGAACATTTTAACAAAATAATACGTCCGGTGTTTGTTTTTTTCAAAATAAAACTCTTATTGTCCTGGTTGCTGCTAATTGACATCCTTGTTTGTCCAAAATGTTATTTTTGTTGCCTAATTCAGCTTTACCGTTATTTAATCAAGGACAGTAATTTTTACAAACATTTTCTTAACCCTGTAATAGAGTTTTAAAATCATAAAAAGCTGAGAAAGATTTAGTTGATATATCTAACCTATGCCACCGATGTAAAATCTAAGTTAGGGTATCCTGTTGTAATAGTTTATGTTTCCAAATAAATATCTGTTACATATAGTTAAAGTAGATAATGTTATAATAACAACTTATTCAAAAGCAGCTACAGTACGTAACCTCCTCCACCAGTTCCCCGGTAAACCGTTGGGGGGAACGGGAGAGTAGTAGCCCGCTCCATGGCCCGCTCCCCTCCGTGCGTAAGATCCGGCCTGGGGGAAAGGGATGAATGTTAATTTCAAAGATGGCGGCGGAGGGAGGAGGGAAGGAGATGAACGAAATTAAAACTCAGTTCACTACTCGGGAAGGTGTCTACAAACTCCTCACTCACTCCGAATACAGCCGTCCCAACAGGGTGCCTTTCAACTCGCAAGGCTCCAACCCCGTCAAGGTCTCCTTCGTGAACGTCAACGACCAGTCGGGCAACGGCGACAGGATCTGTTTCAATGTGGGCCGTGAGCTCTACTTCTACATCTACAAAGGCGTTAGAAAGGTAGCGTGCTAGCGGGGCTAATGTCAACGGAAATTCGTGATACGGCATGTTAAAATACATCACTGCCATTTGAGCCGTTGCTGAACATCAGGCTTACATTGGCTGTATTAAATAACTGGCAGGTGCTTGACTTTCAAATTAGCTGGCAGCTAGTTAGCTTGGAGCTATGATGAAGCTAGCCTTCTAGTTAGCTAGCCAATGCGACTGGCTAACACTAGCAAGCCAGCAGCTACACCAAGGCCAGGGGCTAAATTCCGTCCCCAGTCTGTGACACTATTTTAGTTTTATGGTATCGTCGGTTTCGTCAGGCTGGTTTTACGATCATTAGGGTTAAGTTATCCTTTTGATGTTATTTAAGTTGTCATGGTTGAAATCTTTGCTGTAACGGTGAATAGTGACAGTTCTACGTTACCACCCACAACACCTGTCGACGCCCTTTGACTGACAGGTGTGAACACATCGCAGTGATGCCGATTCAGTGTATGAACGGTCATTCGGCTAGCAAGCTAACTGCTGCCGTCATCCTTCTGTGTAATAACACTCAACTCTTGGGATTGGGATGTGTCTGGACAAAATCTATGACCTGATCAAACTAAGCTGACTTGTTCTGCTTGTAGGGAAATGCTCTGTAATTTACAGGTTATAAGCATTCATGAAGGATCTATTCCTTTAAAGTATATTTCTGTGGTCTGTGTAGATGTTGAGTCACTAACAAGTAAGCCATAACATGGATTCAGCTGACTGGACATCACAGGTTGATTGAAAGCAGCTGACTGCTAACTTGAAGTGATGTGTCATAGCCTTTTAAATATCCACACAGAATCATGTCCTTGTCATGTGTGTAATTTCAAGTGTAAATCAGCAATAGACTGGCTGGACTACCACAAATTAGAAGAATTGTAGGATTATTTGTAGTAAAAGACAAAACTAACAGGAATTCTAGGCTTGTTAATCTTCACAATTTAAGTTTAACAGGAAATGGCGAGTTATAATGGTACAAGCAAATTAGTCACATGCCTGATAAAGACATTGATATTTGTTTTCAGTGTATCAAAATCACATCACAAGATTACATTCACAATACATCATCTTATCGATTATTTGTCCCATTGATGAGTTACAGCTTAAAGAGATTGGTAATTTAATTTCTCTGGTAAAGTTTTGCTGGAGCAGATACATGGCTACAGGTTTAAAGTAAAAAATGTAGTAAGACTGTCCTGTGTATTACAGTCAGCAGTTAACAAATCTAGCTGCTCACGATGACCTTATCATTTCTTGTGTGTGTATATCCGTAACCTCGCTTCTTACTACTGTTGACATAAGCTTATTATGTACCAGTTTTGGTGGTAATGCCAATCACTAAAATAATACCTAATACAATGCATGCTATTATGATCAGTGTTTTTGACCGGACCCTTGATTTAAACTACTTTTGTGACTTGATTTGACATTTTGTGTCTGAGACGGGACATAAACAACTCAATGTCACATCTAAATGTTCTAGAGGAGCCACTGAGTCATCATCTTACACTCAAAGAATTTTCCATTCTGCCAGTAGTGTAAACTATAAATCAGTAACAATGGAACGTTTAGTATACGCTTGGGGTTTCTTGTTCACAGCTGTAAAATACTGTAAAATACTGTTTACCTGACATAAAAAAGAAACTTTTCATCATACAGTACAATGGTAAGCATCTACCCACCAAGAGTGAAAAGGTGTACATCTATACTTAAGTATACCTACTTATACTTAAGTAAGTCCTCATTTTTGCTCAGTGACAGCTATCTGATATGCAGCTAAAAATCACGCAGTGCTATTTTGAGTTCAGATGTCACTGCGTGTTCACTTTGGTTACAAGACACTTGATCTATGGAGGTCTTCATTATCAGTGGAATCAACATGACCACCTCAGCTCCTCTAAATTCAGTGGTGGTGTGTTTAGAGATAAAGTACAAGGAAAAAAAACAATATGACTGCACAGTCAGCTCCAATGGTTTATTACTGACAGTTTGAGTCATGTGACAAAGTACAAAAACTCTTTTTAGATATTGAAATATTACTGCACTCACCACATGTGTGTTCATGCTTTCTCTCATCAGGCTGCTGACCTGAGCAAGCCCATAGACAAGCGCATCTACAAGGGAACGCAGCCCACCTGTCATGACTTCAACCACCTCACAGCTACGGCAGAGAGTGTGTCCTTGCTGGTGGGTTTCTCTGCAGGACAGGTACAGCTCATTGACCCCATCAAGAAGGAGACAAGCAAGCTCTTCAATGAAGAGGTAGGTCTCTGCTGGATAGACAGTAGATTGGAAGAGTTTTGTGTGCAACATTTTCCACAAGTAGCAGGTGCTGGTTAGTAAAGGAAAAATTAGGAGAGGCAGTGAATTTTCACAATTACGTGTACTGTGCTGTTTAAGTTTAGCAGTATGAATGGCAAAAAGTTCAGTGTGTTCAAAGGATTTCCCATACCCTGTCTTGTTCTTCATGGTACTTTTTGTGTTTTCCCTGCTCAGCACCTTTGAATGAAATATTACCAAGAGCATTCTTTGTGAAATTGTAAGTGTTTTCTGATGATACTGTACTGACATTGTCCCCACCCCCTTTCTCTCTCCACTCTCTCCCTCCCTGTCTGTCTCTCAAATCTCAACCTTCCTTCTTTCCTGACAGAGACTAATAGACAAGTCCAGAGTAACATGTGTGAAATGGGTGCCAGGCTCTGAGAGCCTGTTTCTGGTCTCTCATGCCAGTGGGAATATGTACCTGTACAACGTGGAGCATACTTGTGGCACCACAGCACCACACTACCAGCTGCTCAAACAGGGGGAGAACTACTCTGTACACACATGTAAGAGTAAATCCACGAGGAACCCTCTCCTTAAATGGACAGTGGGTGAGGGGGCTCTGAATGAGTTTGCCTTCTCCCCAGATGGAAAGTTCCTAGCCTGTGTAAGCCAAGACGGTTTCCTACGGGTGTTCAACTTTGATGCTGTTGAGCTTCATGGCACCATGAAAAGCTACTTTGGTGGCTTGTTGTGTGTGTGCTGGAGCCCTGATGGAAAGTACATAGTTGCTGGTGGAGAGGACGATTTAGTGACTGTGTGGTCCTTCTTGGACTGCAGAGTCATTGCCCGAGGTCATGGGCACAAGTCATGGGTGAGTGTGGTGGCATTTGATCATTACACCACCAGCGTGGAAGAAAGTGACCCAATGGAGTTCAGTGGCAGCGACGAGGACTTCCAGGATCAGATGATCCATTTTGGACGAGACCGGGCCAACAGTACACAGTCTCGACTCTCCAAGCGCAACTCCACGGACAGCCGGCCTGTTAGTGTGACATACCGGTTTGGCTCAGTGGGCCAGGACACTCAACTGTGCCTATGGGACCTCACTGAGGATATCCTTTTCCCGCATCTTCCACTCTCACGGACACGGACGCACACTAACGTGATGAATGCTACGAGCCCCCCTGCGGGTGCTACAATAATCACTAACACCTCTAGTAACACTACTAACGGAAACAACAGTGGTGCCAATACTCCTGGCATTAACTCCCTCTCGACCACATTACCACGCTCCAACAGCCTACCGCATTCAGCCGGCACCACAACAACGGCAAACAATGCCAACAAGGCTGGCAGCGGTGGTGGAATCGGCAGTGGAATTATGGACAGTGCCATCGCCACAGGTGTGAGTAAGTTTGCCACACTGTCACTCCATGATAGGAAGGAGCGCCACCACGAGAAGGACCACAAACGCAACCACAGCATGGGTCACATCAGCAGTAAGAGCAGCGACAAGCTCAACCTGCTGACAAAAACCAAAACAGACCCTGCTAAGACTCTGGGTACTCTGCTGTGCCCGCGCATGGAGGATGTGCCCCTCCTTGAGCCCCTCATCTGTAAAAAGATAGCACACGAGAGACTGACTGTACTCATATTTTTAGAGGACTGTTTAGTGACTGCTTGTCAGGAGGGATTTATTTGCACATGGGCGAGGCCAGGCAAAGTGGTAAGTTCTTTTTAATGTAGGAAATGTGGGGGAATTATAAGTGATAATATTGTTTGTCAATCGTTAGCTGTCCTAAAATCAGTTGATGGGCTGTAACTAAAAATCAACACATGTTCTGAAAGCTTAAAATAACCTATGGACATTTGGAATAACATTTTTAGCTTTTATAGTCAGACTGTCGGTCTCTGCAGGCAGGCAAATAACATATCAGACTTTGTTTAATGTACATCTGCTTTACAGTGAAAGACCTAGTATGCTTAAGTTTCAAATATAACCAATGCTATGACAGAATTACAGTGTGGTTATATAATACATTCTGATAAGGAGGATTTCCTGTGTAGACCTGCGAGGGAAGGGGGGATTTTAATCCATATGAAGTGTTTTCATTGGTTCATCATAATCATTCCACAATGCATAGCAGCATAGCCAAGAAGTCATCTGCATACACACTCACTTCTCAGCTTTTATGCAAATGGCCACTTTGCCCAAAGAATCTCTGCAGTCTCTTACATGCTTACAGCTTAATATGTGTATACACCCTTGTATACTTTGCCTTTGTCTGTGTTTTGAGAGCTTTTGCCAGAACGAGGCACATGTAAGTCTGCATTTTGAACATAACCAGCAGTTTGAAGGCTAGTCAGTCCAATGAGACCGTTACTTTTAATCACTAACCAGTACAGACATTTGACTGTTTTTACCTTTTGTCCAATAATAATATATGGGACTACTGTCTTGTAAGGGTTACTGTGGGTGATTTGTGGGATTGTCTGACCAAAGTATTGCTTCTAATGGCTTCTCTGCAAGAAAATGGAACAAATAAGATGCAAAAGTAATTGAATACTCAGCTTGGGGCAGTGGAAAAAGTTTACCACAGCCTGTAGTGGGTATAGATTATGATTTATACAAACCACTTGATATTTAAACAAGTGGTGAAGCAGAAAATGCAGTGGTTGAGGTCAGTCTTGGGGAAGGCGTGATGAGTATTTTATAATAGGAAAGAGTTGGAACAGACCTTATTTCATAGGGTTCAGGATTAAGTGCATAATAGGAGAAAGGCAATAAAAATCTAATAATTGATTTAGTTTGCCCTTGAAAATGCTCTCAAAGGTCAGATTAAGAGGCTGAAAAATAAGTCAATGGTCTGGTCATGTACATTTGAAGTGCCTTGATCAAGCAAACCTCTCAAAGACGGCATTAGTCTCACACTGTACACTCGGCATCCACTTTGACTGCTGCGCACAGCCTTTTAATTAAGTGCAGGGGACCGGGATATGGAAAGAGGAAGCTAGAGGCTAATTTTTAATGAGCTATTTGTTGCTTGTTTTTTTTGCTACAGTATGTGAACTTTCCCAATGCAAATCTCCTTGTTTTCCTTTTTCCAGGGTTTATTGTCATCCCAAAACCAAGCCAGCTCTCCCAGTGGAACAGTAGTATAGCCACAATATTTCTGCTGCTAAAGAACCCTGCAACCCAGAGTCTGATGCTGCTCTTCACCCTGCAAGCATTGCAAGTTTTCCTTTTCTTTTATACCCCTCCTCCTTCCCAATTTTGTTTATGGCTTTTCTTTTGTTTTTGTTTATCACTCACTTGACGTAGAGGAGGAATGAAGCAAGAAAAGGTGTGGTGCATTTGTGGACTATTGCGCTAATGTGCTATTGTTCTCTGGAGTTTTAACACATTTTAGATTTTTAAAAAATCTTTCTTTCATGTCAAATCTCATCAGACTGTTGTCCCCTCTGGAATTAAGGCTTGGCTTTGTTAGATGCAAACCAGACAACTGTGGCTTGAGATTTAAGGGATAGTTCATTTAATTTTCATAATTTGTGTATACCCCTTTTTTAACCTTGTGATGTAGCCCAGTCGTGGCTCAGGGTTACTGACTAAAACATGAATTTTGAGTGAACTATTCTTTTATGACCAAGTGCGTGAGCATCTGAAAATTTTGCTTCCATCCACATTCACCCTCCACTTCTGTCTTTTCTTGAGTAGAATCTCCCCATCGACGACTTTGCACTGATTTTGTTAGTTATTTTGTTGTTTGTTTTTATAACTACTCTAATGGAACAAAAAAAGAGGGTTGAGGACTGCCTTGTTACACTCGGCTTTAACATCCTCAGTCTTGAAATCTGAATCTATAAAGCTTGATGCTGCAATCATAGTCTTTTTAAAGAAAAAATTGTTTGCACTTAAATTAGTTTATTAGAAGAAAAATGGCTTTACATTTTTGGGTGTGCTCAGAACTCACAGATGGCTAATACAGTAGGTGAAGAAAATGATAAAAAACTATTAAAACCTTTATCTATTGAGCATTTATTTTAATATTATTTCAGATTCAAATCTGCTCTGTATCATAATGTGTATATTGTAATTAATTGATCTGATGGGGGCCTAAGCAAACTACCATTACTCCAGTGGAAGTTTTGTCATTGATAGTTATATTTCTAAAGCCTAAAGTATACATATTAATAATATTAAAATAATCTTGAATACACCGTTTACTGTTCTTTTTTTGTTCACCCACATGTACTGTATTTACATAACAAAGCTGTAATGCCTCTGGCGTGAAAATTGCTTACAGTGTCATAAAAATGCAGTAGTTGCATGAAATGAGCTGTCAAGTCTGGTTTGGAAGTCTTTGAAGCTCAGGAAGTCTCACAACAGTTGAATCTCAAAAGACTCATCAACTTGGTACAGGCTCTTTTTATGCCTCAGTCACAAAAACTATTTTGAGAAGAAACCACAGAACTTGACATGCTCCTGACTTTCTCCAAAGAATTTTAACTAAAGCCACATGAAAGATTTCAGATATGGAGGTGTTTTTATGCTACTGCAGTATTAATGTACTTCTTTTCTTTGTGATAACCAATCATTGTTGATGCCAAGAATTCAGTGACCCCTTACACTAGTCAGAAAGCTGGAGAGGCAATTATATTTTGAAGTGGATAACATTTTCCCACTATAATTATTTATTAAAAGAATCTTTATCAATTTGTCCTCAACATTTTTGTTAGGAGTTTGCACAGACATGTAAAAGATTCAAGTATTTTTTATACAAATTAATGACAACAGCAAACAAATGATACTCAACAATTTTTTTACTCTTATTATTATGCATCACAAAAAACAGCACCATAAGGTGCAGATTGAGTCACAGTCCATTTTAATGAGCTCACAGCTCTGAATGAAATAGTACATTTTTAAGCCACAATGTTTTAAATGAAGGGGATATGAGGGTACTTGTCAAGCTACATTCTGAACATAGCAATAAAAAAAAAAAATCTGATTTGGGTCTTTTAAAGGCCCAGTCTGCAGTCTTTGACCATTGTTTTTACCTACATAATTGATCTAAAAGGAAAGACATTTTTTGTTATTCATTGTTCCAATTGTATGTGTTGCAGTCCATGTGGGGCTGTTTATTTTATTTACAGGTCGACCATGAAATGTGCCTTTAAATTACTTCTCCAATGGCAATTTTGTGGCATAGAGTAATTGTGAAGTGATTAATGTGAATAGTTTCGCTGTTTACTTTTGTACAGGAAGACTTCTGCCCCTCAAATGAGTTTGTGATTCACTTTCTCAATATACAGCACCAACCTCGACCTTGGAGTTTTTCGTGTTTTATTGCTTTACAACTTTGAATCACAGCTGTGTGTAGTATTTAAAAAAAAAAAAAAAAAAAAATTATAACTTCCTCTAACTTCTGATAGTATTCTGTGAATACTTATAGCTTAGCTAATCATTTGTGATTCAAAGTTGTAAAATAATACAACTGTAACAAGTCCATAGGGTGTGACAACTTTTTAAAGCCACTGTATTATTTCCCAGTTAGTTGATCATGTTCCTTGTCTAAAAAGTTACACCATCTAATTCACCTCTGGTAAACAGCCTGGTAACTTGTCAAATATCTTATTGCTTAGCTTGTGTAATAGGCTCAGATTGAAGTATATTTCTCAACAGTTGTAAACATGTAACACCTGACTAGGTCAAGTAAAACAGAGGTCATAACTAAACTACACATTCCCAATCCAACATAATATGACTGAATCTATCATTGTTTGTGTAGACACTGAATTTCATCATTACCATGAGGATTCAACAGTTTGGTGTAGAAGTCATAACTAGTAAGCTGACAGAGTCTGCGGTCTTCATTGCATTTTTTTTTTTTTATCAAATATCTTTTTGTTGTTTTACAGATTTCAACATCAGGCCTGTCAAAACATTGTCCTCTCAACAATCTGTTTATAAGTACAGTAAGAAGTGGTTTTAAATCAAAAGAAGTGTTTTTGCCTCTCAGTAGCCCCCTTGTTTCCTATCCAGAGGTGGCATGTAGTAGGTCTTGAAAGCTGCGCGGTGTGACTCATCCCGGGGCTGCAGAGAGAGGAAATGCAGGCTGAATGCCAAATCAAAGCCCTTATTGAAAGCAATACCGAGGCACTTGTTTGTCTATATAAACTTCACATTCCTCCTTTTTCCGTAAGACAACATAGTGATATACTGTATCTTCTGATATTTAAAACAAACCTGTCAGCACGTTTTACTTAATTTCCTCAGTGCCCTTGCTAGATGTGACTTCTAGGAGGCCTGAATGGCTGAATGACTCAGTAATTAAAAAGCCTGATGTCTGTGTAGCGCTCCTGTGTTTACCTTGGCCAACTGTGACTGGCACTTTTTCGATGTGATGGCTGGCAGTGTGCCTCGGTGGGTGACAGTGAATGCAGGCATAGTGGAGACTGGGAAGGAGATCTGTGGTCCTGGTACAACCATGTTGAGTTTGGGCAGCTCTGTGGGATAATGAGGGACGTTCCGTCTGACAAGGGGCTCTGCTACATGCTTCATGTGCTGTGAGAGGGAGAAAGTATTGGATGGCAGCAGCTTATTCATATTTCTTTGGACTGATGGGCCTTGGATACTTCACTTACGGTGACTTTAACATAGGGCTAAATTTGGCCAGTAGAGTTTAAACTTACGCGCATTAAAGGTGTTTGCCTTGTATATCTTCCCCTCAGCTGTTTGCCAAGTCTGGTTGAGCGCCAGATTTGCTCTAAGGAGCTGGGCGTTACACTACTCTCTACTCCATCCATAGTCCCAGAAACTCTGTGAAGAGTGTCAGCTTTCTTCTCTGCCAGCCTGGAAGAAAAAAACAAGCAAGAATCTACTAGAATAATATATTATTTAAAATTTAAGTCCTTCCACAGTTTGTATAAGAAAGTGTTTCCTATTTGAGAGGACACTAACTATCACTTCTGCACATATATATTTAACCACTTGACCTGATTTCCCTGAAGTATGTGTGCCGCAGGGCTGTTTCTGCAGTGATGCGTTCATCAGAGTCATAGGCGAGCATCTGATACAGCAGTGACAAAGCCGGGGCTGGGCAGTTTGGGATTAATCGTGAAATTCCGGTGCCTTTTTTTGGAGGAAAGTTGAACTGCATTGCTCTAGACCTGGCAGACATGAAGACACCTTGAGAATTCTTGTTTTTCCAAGTACATGAAAATGAGATATTCACATTTTATGTGTGCTGCTGCAATAACAAGATGACAAACTCTTCAAAGAACATATTTGAGGAGGAACACCTACTGCTTGAACTTTTGGAGAAGACTTTGATCTGGCGTCCCCAACACATCATGGATCTTGGCAACCTGGTCCAACTCATTTGATCCAGGGAAGAGGGGATTCAAGCTGAAACATACAGGTACACAGTGCAATAATCTGAGTGCCACAACAAAGCTATTTACATAACATTTGTTTCTCATTTGTTTATACTTGTGGTGGTGGACAAGGTTGGTCAAATTACAAAGATGGGGAAATGAATGCAGACACAGGGAAGAATGTAATGTAGTCAAGGATAACTCTGTAAAATAACATGTTTGCCTGTGTAAGTATTACAGATGAAATGATGTGCCCTTCCCCTGCAGAGGTACCTCATGATTTCAAAGAAGACACAACCAGCGCTCCAGATGTCCATCTTTAAGCTGTAATACCCATCAGTCAGGAGGCACTCTGGGGCTCTGTACCAGCGTGTGGAGATGTACTCTGTGTGCGGGGGCTTGGAGTACACACTCCGACATGAGCCAAAGTCCCCAAGCTTCAGAACATTTTGCTGTAAGTTGTACAAAATAATTAAAAAAATGTGTATAACTCAAAACCAAATTACCACTGTTAGGCTTTTTTTTTATAAAGCAGATTTATGATATTGATGCATCTCACTTTGATGAGAATGTTCTCAGGCTTCACATCTCTGTGAAAGATCCCACAGCTGTAAAAATAAATAAATAAATAAAGAGGAAGGTGAAGGGGAAAAAACATAACTTACTTGATGTTGAATTTTACTTTATAATTTCATATGAACTTATATGTTACATTTTCATAATTACCTGTGCATGTGGTCAAGTGACTTGCACAGCTGGTACATGTAATTCTTCACTGTATGGTCAGGCAGTGGAGTTTGTCTTCCTGCAAAGAATGACGAACCAATATCAGCTCATAATTCATCCAAGAACAATAATGTCTACATCTCCAAGTTACTCTGCCATACTTGTAGACCTACCTTGTATGAACTCATAGATGTTCATCTCCATCAGCTCACAAATCAAAGACACAGTTCCAGTTTCTTTGTCACTGAAACGTTGAATAAGAGTAAAGAGATGTGCCACACCACACTAGCTTAAGGCAATACAGTGAGTTACTAACAGCCAACACTCCAGTACTCACAAAATCAGTTCGTGTAGTTGGATGATATTTGCATGGGGGCTCAATCTCTTCATTGCCTGGACTTCCCGCAGATTGTTGGCCTGCTCCAGACTTAACAACAGAGCAAGTATAGCATTTGTGTACAAATACTCTGTTGTACAGTATAAGACATATATGCTTTCTTAATCTTAGATTTTGTGTGATGGGTTTGAGGGAACTGGTCTGAAGCAGTGCAATTCTGTATCACAGCTTCATTTGGCAGCAACATCATATCACTACAGTGTGTGCACAAATATCAAGATTAATGACTGCACTGATTTAAAGTGAGTGTGCACTTTAAATCAGCACTTGTAAAAAACCATTGCACTAACAACTCACATTTCAAGCACTGATATCCATTGTTTTCTCATCACTACAAGGTCAAGGCAGACTATGTTGACATCTAATAGGATACTTAAGGCAGAGAGGGTGTCAAGCTGCTGTCTCAAGTTTCAAGTCTCCAATACTGATTACTTGTGCACAGGACAACGCTGTGTTTCTAAATACATACCTGTTAATTGTCTGCTTCATTTTTTTACATGCGTAGAACTTCCCATCTTTCAGGCTCTGAGTTTTCACCACCTCTGAAAATGTGCCCTCCCCAATTTTCTTGATTATTTTGTAGCCTGTACAACAGTTACAAACAAAGACAAGGAATGAGAGAAATTGAATTTTTGCATACACACATTTCTATAATATTACCCTGAATATCAGTTGAAATTTGTGAGTAAATGAACATCAGAGAAACAAGTCTGCCTAATCTAGATGGAAATCCTGTGCTCCAGAGACAGTAAAAACTGGAACACACCCACTGGACATTAAAGCCCATGACAATTTCATTGGGATAGGGAATTAAGATTTTCTGATTGACAGCTGGAAGCCCTACATTCACACAGGGATGTAACTGAAGATTATTTTCATTATTGATGGTAAATGTCTCCCAAAAACAGTCCAAAACTTAAAATAAATTCAGTTTATCATAGGTCAAAAAAGTACTTGAAACAATTGATCGAATATCAAAATGGTCATAGATTAATTTTCTAATCGACTAATCCTTTCAGCTCTACATTCATATAAAACTCATTCTGACAAAATACTTCACAGGAAGTTGTTAGAGGGGCTGCGTAATCCAAGAAAGGAACACATTTTTTGTAATTTTTGCTTGAAAATATATTTAAAGGTAACTCAAATCAACTATCAAAATAGTTTAGGGCTGCAACCAATGATTATTTTCATTATCAACTAATTTGTAGATTCTTTATTAATTAATCATTTAGTGTAAAAACATACAAAAATGTGGAAAGAATGCCCCTCATATCCAAAGGTGACATTTTTAGTGTCTTTTTTCTTTTTTTTTCAATCCAATCAACATTTCAAAATCCAAAGATACAAAACAGTTTGCTGATATTTAAGATAGAGAAAAGCAGCAAATCCTCTTCTTTGAGAAGCAGGAATTAGAAAAATGTTTGGTTTGTATTTAATACCAAAAAAAAATAGTATCAAAGTAGTTGCATATTATTTTTCTTTCAATTGACTAATTCATAATCATTTCAGCAGTGGAATTGTTTCTAATCAGTCCTCTGTGGATTGACTGGAGATTGACTGATTGACAGGAAGACAGATGTCTGTTTTACTATTTTAACTGTCCAGAATCATGTTTACAAAAAGGTGGACAAGCAGCGTTTTAATATGGGTTTTCCCTTTTAATGGCCACAAACAGCCATGACACTACAGACTGTGACCTGTTATATTCTGGTACTTAATCTTACACGGTAATTGCCAGACTACATTTGCGTTGTGTCAATGCAACAGAAATGACTTGAGTTCAGGGGGTCACATTTTTGGTAACAATTACCATTGTGGTAGAAAAAACGTAAATGAAAAAGAGACGCTACATAGAAAACATGATTATTATGGATATTAAGGTTAAAAGAACCGTTTGCTTGCTCGACACAATGACGCACTCTTAAAGGTAAGAAAAACAGATAACAAAGATAAGAAATCTTTGGAGAGAATCGTTAACGACGTGCGACCTCCTGTCAAAAGTCTTGACACTGCTCAGCCGTTAACTTACTACTTACAATGCATTCCTTTGAGTCTTAACCGCCGCATGTAAGTCGATTATCCATAACATCTGGACAGTACATTTCAATGATAAGTTTGAAAAGACAATTCTTTTTAACGCATCGAGGTATCAAAACGGACACTAAACTCGTCTTACGGGTGCTAGCTTAGCCCCGCTAGTGAGCCCTGTTAGCTGACCGTCGCCTTGGTAACGGAGCACGCCTTCGCCCTCCGCTCTGACCTGAGGAGGAAACTGAAAACTCTGGCTGAGTCTCTCTCCCCAGCCCGGCCGCTAAACTCAAAATTTTCTGAGTTAAAAGCAGCAACGCAGCTGAATATGCTCTGCCATGTTATAAGAAAATGCCAGTGAAGCAGAATTATTTGCCACAGGCCCAGATATTTGACGCGATTGCTTATTTACAGCTTTATCATCCAGCTCCTTACCTTTTTTCCAGAGGTGGGTGGTGACCGTTAGCTCGGATGTTTTTTCATTAGGCTGCGGATTGTTGTTCTTCACGTCCACAACAATTCCCCTGTTGTTCCAGTCGGTGTTAGGTGGTGTTTTGCATGCATTTCGAAGGCTTGCCCTGTTTTTCACGCCAATAAGCCAGTTTGAGTAGTGCATCATTAGTGCACATTGACTGCTAAAGAGCCTACCATGAGCTTAATGATATCTAGAATCAGTCCCCGCAAGAGCACAGCTGCTGGTTCACTGCATTCATGTCATAGCATAACGTTACCAGGCACCAGTACATCCAATACACAATCAATGCATTCTATTCACACACAGGCAGTGTGTGTAAAAGGCGTGGACCTGATCGTTTTTGTTCCACCTCGGCTTCCGTAAAGACTTGACATTACCGCGCATGTACAGCCGTTCCTTACATGTTTTCACTGCTGATGTTGCACAAGAAATGTGAATGTTTGAATTTAGTGTTTACCTGAATTTTTGTATTTGCAGCCAGCTTTTAAGTCACCATGAAGACAAGATTCGCCACTGTGGATATCAGGGCAGTTATTGCCGAGATCGATGCCAAGTAGGTGATATATATCGCCTCCAGCCAGGTTGCTAACCTAACTTAGCCTCCTCTAGCTGTGCTAACCACCGTTAATGTGGATTTGTTTACATATGTTCATCAGCCATTCTTTCATTTTGCCTTCTTCTTTCACAGCTACATTGGCATGAGAGTAAACAACGTGTATGACATCGACAATAAGACGTATCTCATCCGGCTGCAAAAGTGAGTTCAGTTTGAAAAGTTGCCTCCAAAAGTTTCACTGTAATTGCTTTAATAGGTCATGAATCAGTAATGCCACCGCGAAAAGATACTTCCTTATAAGCAATGTAATTACAAGTAAGGATATATTATCTGTAATAAGTAACAAAGGTGAAAGTATTCATTATGCAGGAGAGGGGCTCCTGTCAGCGTTAAAATTGTTGCATTATTTAATGATTACTGATATTGATATCTAAGCTGCAGTTCAGCTCATTTTAACTGACTAATGCACATGGATAGTTTTTTTTAGTTTTTTTTTTTAGATTATTTAAACTGATCATGTGTTTTGTATGAAAAAATCCGGGTAACTAGAAACTATAGCTGTCAAATAAATGTAGCTGAGTAAAGCATAATATTTCACTGTAAAATGAAGTGAGGTAGAAGTACAATATAGAATTAAATGGAATTACTCAACTCAAGTACAAGTACCTCAAAATTGTACTTAAGTACAGCACTTGAATAAATATACTGTACTTAGTGACATTCCACAGTCAGTCAGTGTGTATAACTGAGTGTCATGTTGTCTCAGGCCTGACAGCAAAGCTGTTCTCCTCATTGAGTCCGGGACTCGTATTCACTCTACAGACTTCGAATGGCCAAAGAACATGATGCCTTCGGGCTTTGCAATGAAAGTAAGAACATCCTATTGATGTTGTTGTGAAATAGTGTGTTTTGTTTTTTGATTATGACTGGCAAACATTGTTATACAGTGGGGTCCAAAAGTCTGACACTTTCCCAATTACTCAAATTGGAAAGTGGTCCCAGACTTTTGGACCCCACTGTATGTCATTCATTTTTTCACTGTAATGACATTCTCTGTTTTTTGATTGTAATGTAATTCAGTTAATTGGGTTGGTTCTTGTGATGAAGTTGAATGTTGAAAGCAACTTTTCTCTCATTAGTGTCGAAAACACCTGAAGACACGGCGACTGACCCAGGTTAAGCAGCTCGGAATTGATAGGATTGTGGACATCCAGTTTGGTTCAGATGAGGCTGCCTACCACTTGATTATTGAACTATATGACAGGGTGAGAATAGTACATTTGAAGTTGCGTAATTTCAGATGTTATTTTGTGCATATGTTATATAGATCTGTCCATATCCATTTTCAGGGAAACATCATACTTGCAGACCATGAGTACACCATCCTGAATCTGCTGCGGTTTCGCACAGCAGAGGTAGAAGATGTTAAGATTGCTGTGAGAGAGCGGTACCCTGTGGAGAGCGCCAGACCCCCTGAACCTCTCATCAGTCTAGAGCGGTAACTGCATCTTAAATGTGCTTGATGAGTTTGTTGATAAAATTGACATCTATCAGAATTCTGTGAACATATATTATAACTGTATCAGTGAAAACTTTCTTTATGATTGCTTTTTTTCAATATAGACTCACTGAAATTATCAGCAAAGCTCCAAATGGAGAGCAAGTGAAAAGGGTCTTGAATCCCCACCTTCGTAAGTAGCCAGACAACAGACACTCATTTTAAATATATTTAAGTTCTTTTGTCATGTAAAGACTGAACCATGTTTTGTGTCTTTTCCAATCTCCTCTGCAGCTTATGGAGCCACTCTGATAGAACACAGTTTGATAGAAGCAGGGCTGCTGGGCTCTGCCAAAGTTGACAGCCAAGTTGATGCTGCCCAAGGTATAGCAAAGCAATTAAAGACAAGACTTCTGGCATGTGGTTTAGTGATGGTTTAAGTTTTAGATTTTGTTCGATGGTGGCTGTAATGTTGTGTTTCTATAAATCTGTAGTACTCACAATAATGTATGTCTGCTTTTTCAGTCGCACCTAAAATCCTGGAGGCCATGCAAATTGCAGAAACATACATGGAAAAAACAGAGAACTTCAGTGGCAAAGTAAGAGATCTTTATTTTGAGGGACAGTGCTTTGAGATCCTGTTTTTGTTCTTTGTTACATTCACAAACCCCACTTTGTTTAATTTAAGGGTTACATCATTCAAAAGAGTGAGAAGAAACCAAGCTTAACTCCTGGCAAACCGAGTGAAGAACTGCTCACGTATGTCTTTTTTTGTTTAGAATAGTATACATACTTTTTTACCTGGTCATCTATAATATGGTTATTTAATTTATGATGATGATGTCCACTCACAGATATGATGAATTCCATCCATTCCTCTTCGCCCAGCATGCAAAGAGTCCCTATTTGGAGTTTGATACTTTTGACAAGGTGAATATTAGCATGGCTGCTTATTTGGTTTATCACTTGATGCCTTGTTTGAGAAAGAATATTGATCCATCTTTCTGTTCCAATGTAAATTAACACTTTTTGCACAAATGTGATCCTCTCACTCAGGCAGTGGATGAGTTCTTTTCTAAGATGGAAAGCCAGAAGATCGACATGAAAGCCTTGCAGCAGGAGAAACAGGCTCTGAAGAAGTTGGAAAATGTGAAGAAGGACCATGAGCAGAGGCTGGAGGCCTTGCACCAAGCACAGGTTAGCAACATAGCAGCTTTGACCTTTGTCTGCCACAAATAAATGTTGCACTTAATGATTCCTGCTCTTCCTCATGTATGCATCTGTGAAGATTTTTGCATTGTTTAGAGAAGAATTAACAGAAATTTGGATACACATCAATTTAAGTTTGACTTTGCTGAAATGCATACATAAGCAACCTTAACTCATGTGTCGCAGGAGGTGGACAGAATAAAAGGTGAACTAGTGGAGATGAACCTGCCTGTGGTGGAGAGGGCATTGCAGGTGGTGCGCAGTGCACTGGCCAATCAGGTGGACTGGACTGAGATTGGCATTATCGTCAAAGACGCGCAGGCAGCTGGAGACCCTGTGGCCTGCGCCATCAAAGAGCTGAAGCTGCAGACTAACCACATCACCATGCTTTTAAAGTGAGACCATCACTGATACAGAAAACTTAGAACAATGGACCACTCTGCTCACTGTTACAACATTTGGCTTCTGTGTCTTTTCCCCTCTAGGAATCCATATATTTCTGAGGAAGACCATGAAGAGGAAGAGAAAGAAGATGTGGTCGAGGAGAAAGGGAAGAAAAATAAAAATAAAGACAAAGGACAGAGCAAGAAGCTGCAAAGAAACAAGCCCATGTTGGTGGATGTAGATCTTGGCCTGTCCGCTTATGCCAATGCCAAAAAGTAGGTTTAGATATAAGCCTTTAGACATAGAATTGAACATTATGTAGGGAGAGACACAAGTGTTGTCTTTACAGTTGATGGATCTTGTTGTTGTGCTTTTTTCCTTTAGGTACTATGACTTCAAACGCAGTGCTGAAAAGAAGGAACAGAAAACCATTGAAGCAGCAGATAAGGTGAGAAAGCTGTTAATATATAGTCAGGTTTGACAGTGGGAAAACATCTGTCAGTTGTCTTTGAGATCAAGGCAAGGCGTGTTTCCAAGAACATGGTTTATGAACTTTATAACCACTGGGAATTTTTTTTGACACAAGACAGCTTTGAAGTTGATAAGTCGTGATACTTTTGCACTTTATTAAGAATGTACTGTTAAAGGTATTCCTATTTTACACCATGCTAGGCCATGAAATCTGCAGAGAAAAAAACACAGCAAACACTGAAGGACGTCCAGACAGTGACCACTATTCAGAAGGCCAGGAAAGTCTACTGGTAAGACACACCATGTGTTATGCACATATCCAGACTTTGTTTTGTTTCAGTGTGTTTTATATGTACTTGATAAGCAGTGTCCCCCCCCTTTCCCCTTGTGGCAGGTTTGAGAAGTTCCTCTGGTTCATCAGCTCAGAGAATTATCTCATCATTGCAGGAAGGGACCAGCAGCAGAACGAGATGATCGTCAAAAGATACCTCCGGGCGGGTAATGGAACTCACACACTTTCCTTAAAAAGTAAATATCTTTAAAACTAAGTTATTTTACCTTATCATGTGTATCTTTACTTTGACAGGTGATATCTATGTTCATGCTGACCTTCACGGAGCGACTAGTTGTGTCATCAAAAACCCCTCAGGTACATCTGCATGTGTGGTTTCACTTCTCCTTTCTCTCCACTGCTTGACTTAATTTGTGACGATGGTTAATGTTACTATTAAATCATTTGTATGTGTTTCTGCCCTTCTCAACCTCTCCACCCACTCCCCACTCCAGGTGATCCCATCCCTCCTCGTACCTTAACAGAGGCCGGCACTATGTCTGTGTGCTACAGTGCTGCTTGGGACGCCAAGATCATCACCAGTGCTTGGTGGGTCCATCACCATCAGGTGAGTTGTGAATATTACGCTATCGAATTGGCTAGCTTATCTTTTTTTTGTGTGTATGATAAAAACACAACCCACTGTAATTTGACAAAACACTGAAAGTGAGAACTGGCTTAGGCAAGGCAGCGTATTTGCTTCTGGATGCTATATTTGCTGTTATCATTATATTGTTGAAGTTTGGTTTATAGTTATTCTGTAGACATAACTTACTGTGACTTTCAAAACTTAAAGGTACACTGTGAAGTTTTCTTGTTAACAGTTTTATTTACATTCAGTGTTTGTGACCAAAATGCATTGCATCAATCCCTGAGTCTAATAAGTAGGTTTACTACATTTCCTTTCTCATCACAGATTTGCAAACCTGAGTTTTAAATAAAAAAATCATCTATTGTTTACATGTCATGTTTGTGAGGTTCCAGTGTTCTTTAACTCAACTTTGGTGGCACATTGTTCCATTTCTCCACATGTTATATACAAATGAAATGGGGACCCACTTGTAAAAACATTGCTGACTAATGCTACTAGTGGCCAAAACTTGAGAAGGGTACCTTTAACTCACAGGTAGTGCGTCATTAGACATGGGGGAAATACAAAAGGCTACAAGCAGCCAAATACTTCAAATGTGACATTAAATTCATTATTAATTCGTGGTATATATGTTTTATTTTTGCTCAGGTGTCTAAGACAGCTCCCACTGGAGAGTACCTGACCACTGGAAGTTTCATGATCAGAGGTATCAAACATGAGAATTAAAAGCACATGAGTTTTGTCAGGCACCAGAACAAAATATAAGAAGTTCAACTGGTAACAGAGCTATGAGGATGTAAAACAGAGGACTGAATGTTTGTTTTATTTCTCTCCAGGAAAGAAAAATTTTCTGCCACCTTCCTACTTGATTATGGGCTTTGGATTCCTCTTCAAGGTAAATACCATCATGAGCTGTGAATAACATTTTAACTCTTTGTCATCCTCTAACAATAACGTTTCACGCTTGCCTGTGTGCAGGTAGATGAACAGAGCGTGTTTCGGCACAAAGGGGAACGAAAAGTGAAGACCGTAGAGGAAGACATGGAGGAGGTCACATCCAAAACTGCTGAGCTGTTAGAGGAGGGAGAGGAGCTGATAGGTAGGAGGACATAATAAGATTGACTTCATTTGCTATGTTTGTAACTACAACGTTCAAGTGCTGTAACAGATTCTGCTGCCTTTGCAGGTGACGACAGCAGTAACGAAGATCAGAACGAGGAAAGAACAGAAGGAGATGGACAGAACAAGGAGATGAAAAAGGAGATAAAAAAGGAAAACAAAGGGGAGGGGGATGATGGCGCAAGCCGAGGAATGCTGTCAGAGCAGAGCAACATGGAGGCCGAGGCAGAGGAAGGTGGAGAGGACAGCGGGATGGAAAAGGACTCGGAGAATGGAGAGAGTGAAGAATTCAGCTTTCCAGATACGACCATCTCCCTCAGTCATTTACAGCCCAGCAGGTAACTTTAGCACTGCTACACGCTGGAACAAACACTTTGGGAATGGAAAAGCCTGCACATGAGAATAAATAATACTTCAATTGTCTCGCTCTATTTCTAGAAGTATTCAGAACCCTGGCTTCAAAAAGGAAACAGCATCTCAGGTAATTACCCACTGTCTTTGGCCATGTACATTTAAGCAATTCCATCAAAGTCAAACGATACATTTACAACTCTGCATATACTAATGTGTTAATTCATTCATTTCTATTCAGGCTGAGGTAGACTCACAGGGGAAAAAACACATGACCGCCAAACAGAGAAGGTGAGTGAATGGAAAATTTGACATTTTCAACACAAACATGTAGAATTAGACTTAAATAATAGACTGAGTTTAACTTGAAACATAACTGTAGAATGGAAATATTAATTGCAGAGACCAATTTAAAGTATGAGACATATACTGCCAAATAGGGAAAAAAATTGGTTTGGTAGAGGAGTGGTGATCGATGGATGGAATCAGCTGAAATAATTGACATACTTGAATGTACTTTGGTGGAAGTTTGCTTTTCTTTTTAGGATTTAAGTAGTAAGATTTAGTATGTGTTCCCCATTGAGGGGAGGTAGATGTGGGTAAAAAAAACAAAACAAAAAAACAACACATACTAGAGATGAACACCATCGTCCACTTCTATTTAGCATCTGTTCTACCAGCCATAAAAAGGAGATGACTATATTTTATAATATATTTTTTATAAATCTCAGATTAGACTTAGTGTAAGGAAGCATGGTCTGTGATTGATTTAATTCTCAGTTTTCTGCCTTTACCATTAGAGAGGAGAAGAAGAAGAAGCAGAAACACGAGGGTTTTGACATTGAGGAGAAGACTGACATTTCATCCAGCGGACCAGCAGCCGATCAGGGGTCCAAAAGTGGAGGAGGCCCCTCCCAGCAGCCACTGAAGAGAGGTCAAAGGGTAAGAGTGAAGTCTGAAGATAAAACATCCTGTGTTTCTGTGTTGTGTTGAGGCAGTTTTTGAAAATCTGCGTTTACAAATCTGCTTTCTGCAAGATACATTTAAAAGAAAAGAAAACTAAACCCATACTCAATTTATGAGAAATTAGGAGGCCAATGACACTAGTGTATTTATCAGTTTACTGATAAACATTTTTGCATTATCAGTAACTGAAATAGGGCTGTAATGCTTTTTGTTAATCACAAAAATCAATGTTTATGAAATGCTGTAACAAAATGAGAATTATCCAGTATTATTTAGTTGTTTTTTTTTAAATTAACAGTATCCCTTGTGTTACATGTCATAATGTTCTTATTTGATGGATAAATCTTGAATCTAATGATACTAATGTCTGTGCTGTTCATGTGTGTGTTTCTCCTTCAGAACAAACTGAAGAAGATCAAAGAGAAGTACAAAGATCAGGATGAAGAGGACAGGGAGCTGATGATGCAGCTGCTAGGGGTAAGGATGAATGAAAACAACTATGCAACCCTCAACACATAGTTGTTGTTACTGTGTCATTGTCATGACACCATCTGCTAGATTTTGTGTTGATGTAGTTTGTGTACACAATCCTTGATACTTCCCAATACAATAAATAACATTATAACTATGTTTCTCCTTTAGTCAGCTGGTCACACGAAGGATGAGAAGGATAAGGGGAAGAAAGGAAAGAAAGGCAAAGGTAAAGATGAACCCGTCAGGAAACCACCCTCCCAGAAACCACCTCAGAAACCCCGTAATATGGAAACTGCAGCAAAGAAACCAGAGCGAACAGGAGGAGAGGAGGGTGAGGAGGACAGGCAGCCTGGAGAGGAAGGAGGCGCTGCTGAACCGGAGGACAAGGTAGATGACAACACTCCATGCTAAACTGGATAAGGATGTAATACCTAATACCAGTGTCCAAAATGTTAGTCTGGTGAAAAACTTTGAAATGTCCCTCCGTTTCTTCAGTTCAGTTTTTCTAAATAATTGGATGTAGCTTTGAATGACTCCTGTTTATAGTGTATGGTAGCTGGTAGGGATCATTTTATTTTATAAAATAAATGGATTGAAATTTGTTTTGTGTGTTTTCAACAACAGTTTGAACAACTTGTATTTTTGTATTGTATTTTGAATTCCTTTCAAGCCATCTATGCTGTCCTCTCTTTCAGGAGGATGATGTGGACCAGGACAACCCTGGAGCAGAGGTGGTTTCCTAAACCTTTACCTGTGGATAAACGGAGTTTGTACTCAAAATAAATAATTATTCTCTCCATAATAGTCTTTTCAAAAATGGTTAACTTTGAATCATTTATTTTTGTCGCCCCAGGAAGCAGAGAATCTGCTCACCTCTTTGACAGGCCAGCCTCATCCTGAGGATGTGCTGTTGTTTGCTGTGCCAGTCTGTGCGCCATACACTGCCCTTTCCAACTACAAGTATGTGGAATTAACCTTTCTGTTTATAAGAGACGAAGTAAAGAGTGCACGGGCTAATGAGTCATTTGTTATCCACAGACACAAGGTGAAACTGACACCAGGTTCTCAGAAGAAAGGAAAAGGTAAGAACAGTAATCTATTCTGATATTCATAAACCTTTCTCTTAATGTTTTATAGTGAAAAAAAATGTCTTTTTTTCTTTTTTGTTCCTACCAGCTGCACGCACGGCTGTTTTCAGCTTTATGAAAGCCAAAGAGGCCTCAACCAGAGAAAAAGACCTGTTCCGCAGTGTCAAGGTAAAGAAGTTAACTGCATTTTAGTCAAATGTTAAAAGTAACTATCAAAAAAAAGTAACTATGAAGTGTTTACAATCATTTGTTAGTCATGGATAGGTAAATCAACAAAGTTGATTTTTCATATAGAAAACAATCTGCACTCTTCCTAACCAAATGATTCAGTCATTTATCGAGGAAGAATGCCAAACATTCGGTTTCCAGCTTCTTAAATGTAAAGATTTGCTACTTCTGTTGTATACAATTGTATCGTTGGGATTTAGGTTGTTAGTCAGCCCAAACAAGCACTTTCAAGTAGTCACCTCTGGGAAGTTGTTGTTAGTTTCAGCACTAATCATATAGTAGCCTTGTTTTTCTTGATGTTACAATTCAAGCTATGTCCACTCTCTCATCATCCTGTGTTGCAGGATACTGACCTATCCAGAAACATGCCAGGGAAAGTTAAAGTGTCTGCTCCAAACCTGCTGGCTGCTAAGAAGAAATAAGAGACAGGTGAATACAGACCTGGCAAGACTTTCATCCAAACAGACTTGCACACTTTGAGTTATTTCAGAGGAACTCTGCCAACTTCATCTACGCTTCAAACATGGAGGTTACAGGTTCAGATCTGATCCTCAGTACAGTGCCCTTGTTTGAATAAGAATAATTTTATTTTTAAGATTGATTGCATTTGTTGACCAACATTAAGTTTGAAATGAAAAACTGTAAATTAACAAAGCTGAATAACAGAACACAACTCATGGTATGTTTATTCTTTGAGTACAAAGTAACACTATGCATTAAATCCTACAATAAAAAACACAAAGGGGGAACATTGTGCAAACCAGGCAAATACAAACAAAGCCCTACTGACATGAGGCATTTCAGTGCAATGTGGCTAAACATCCACTATACTTGCAGTATTTTAAGTTATTGTTTTAATAAAATTCCAAAGCTACAGGAGCCACTCCTCACGATTTATAGGCTTTTAAAGCCAGTTTCAGAACACAGAACCCATACATTTCATCCCAAATATATAAATAACTGTATATACAAATAAAAACTAAAAGTTAACGTCCAGACTCCATGGCCTTGTGTAGCATAAAGCACTAGTTTTAGGTCTGTGAGAACTTAAGCAAACTATCCAAGATCAAGCAAACACATGTATCCGAGATTGTGGCAAAAATCAGTTAAAGGAATCATTAAAGAAACAGGCTGCACTAAAGAAAAATCTGCACTGTCAAAGCAGACTGTTTCAGGCTTGCACCACCGTTTTTAGTGTTAAGACAAATGGAGACTTTTTAAGTTGGTTTATGAGGAAGACCAGTGAAAGTCACTATCTTAACATCTTACTGGTGCATGAGTTGTGCATTTCATGAATTAGAACTATCCCCTTGACTTGGGCATACTTACAGCATGCACAGTAATCTTTAGGAGAGAATGGAGGTGCTTAAACAAAAAGTCCTCAAGTACCTTTCCAAGCTATATTTCTTCCTCACTAGTTTCCATAACACAATGTATTTTCTTAGAGGGTTTCTTTCACTGGTCTTCCTGAAAACTTAAAACATTAGAGTGGTGTTTTCTGTCCATATTGAATGTATCTACTACTACACTGGCTAGTACAAAACTCCTCATATTTTAATAAACGTTCATTGTAGCTGTACAAAGGTGCTAACAGAAATAAGTTACCTTTGTAAAGCTCTCTTATCTAGAACAGTAGTAGATATACATTTATGTAATAATATGGACAGAAAACCATGCTATCATTTTCAGCTCAGAGCGGGTAAGGAAAGAAATCCTTCTGAAAAGTTACTTTGAGAAAAGAATACAGAATGAAAACGAACCCGACAGTAGCGTGAGACTTCTGCTCTCTCCTACATGCTGTGCTAACAACAGACTGAGCATCAGCAGTACTGCTTCTCCACTGATGGTTCTACTGGCTTTACAAGATACAGGATAATACACAGAAGTTGATAAACACCTTCGAGGATTCGCCTGTAAACCTTAGTGTGCCAGCTAGGACCCATTACCAACAAATCCACAGCTGTTCACTATTGCTTTAAGATTTTGTTTTATGTATGCAAGTGTCCACACACACACACTTAACTAATGCTCTATTAGCACTACCGGCTTTGAGAAAAAACAGTCATCTCTTCCATACATACATTTTATCCCTGTAATCCTCTGGACTAGATTGTTGGCCGCTTCTTCATCTAGGAGCCCAGTGTGTTGACACGTGACATTCTCTGTTTGAGGCTGTGCAGGACAGGTTTAGGCAAGCAGTCCCAGTAACTCGACAAGCGCTCCCTGTGCTGCAGAATGGCCTCCATACAGAACCTGCAGCAATGGTACAGGTACATGTGAGCACAAAACAATGAAGGGATGAACCTTTCAGTTTCAAGTATAAAATAAATCCACATTGTTTTCGCTTTTGCACGCACTCACCGAACTAGTGATTTGGGTTGAACATTGAAAACCAATAACTCGTTGCTGTGAGCCTGTCAAGTGAAAAAAATATTTTAAAAATAAATTAGTAAAATTCAGTCGAAGAAAATATAAACAAATTATGTTGTATAAAAGTAAAATGTACAGCTTACAGCTCTGTGATGAGACAACAAGTTGTTAGCACAACCTCCAAACACAAACACCTCCCCATCAGGACCAGAGCATGCTGTGTGCCAGAGCCTAAAATACACAATGTCAAAAATTGTCTTCATTCATTGTGTTCACTTAACTTTTTCACAAACACACAGTCAGATTAGTGGTCATCCCTCAAAATCATTTAGCTAAAGTTTGATCTGCGAGCACACAACCAATTGTTCACAGTAAGAGGCGATAATCACCTGGGGCTCTGTGTGTGACTGTGTTTGAAAGGCTTCCATTCGTTTTTGCTCACACAGTACAGCCAAGCATCACCTGAAACACAGATGTGAGGTCAGGCATTATTTTGTGGATGGCTATGATTATTTCCCTACTCCAGTGTCAAGTGTCAAACTCACTCAGTGTCTCTCTATCTGTGGTGAACCCTCCGAATAGGAAGATGAGGTCTGATGACACAGGAGTGAACGAGTGCCAAGACCGGCCCACAGGACACTGCTGGGGAACGCTCCTACAGGAAGGCAGGGACAGCCAGACGGGAATATTTGAGTGAGAAAAAGACAATTGAGAAAATTCTTGAAGATAGAAGAAACATGTTCATATAGAAAAGTGGAAAGAAGATTGAATACTTTTGGCACACAGTTGAGGATAACACGGCCGATGCTTGGCCTGCAGACGTGCCATGATCAACTTCGTTTTTAACTATCATTCTCACAGAGTATTAGCCAAATTATTCAAGTTTATAACATCAGGACAAACCCCTTCAAGCCATCATGTGGTTTTCAAGTGGGTCCCATTATTCTGTGATTAAAATCTGTATTGAAATTTAATTTAATTATTTACATGTTTAAGACTCACAAAATGAGAGCAGAATTCACAAGAAAACAACATGACTTTCAGCTGCCAGACACAAATCACAACATATAAAAACACTTACATTTCATGCCACTCCCATGTGTCCAAATCAATGTAGTACAGGTCATTTAGTCGGTAGTTCTGTGGACCAAAGGAAATGTGTTAGGATTGGAGGTCAAGAGGCAAAATTTATTCATGCTGTGACACCTGAACAGTTACGCAATATCATGTTTATGACTGATATTCAGAAGAGACTCTTACCTTGTATCGTCCCCCAAACACATAGCCTCTGTTACCAACTGTGGCACAGGCATGAGCTGCTCTGGGTGATGGGGTGTTCCCCTAAAATCGGGCCATACCAAACGAGAGAAGAAATATCATGTCAAGTATTTCACTCTAGTTGTCTTTATCCCAATATTCAAAAGACTTCACATATTCCTGAAAGAAAAAAAAAACTTAATCTGATGGGCTAATGACCAGAACAGTAGATTAAAAAGGTGGAGGAAATTGGCACTCAGTGTGTGTAAGCAAAGTTGTCTGTAGAGAAGTTGCCATGTGTTTACCGTGGTGACAGGCTGGCTCCATGTATATGTCTCAAGGTCCAGGATATGAATGTGATTGTTCCAGCCGCGCCCAGGGCTGTCCCACTGTAGCACACAAAAAATTAACCATTAACATTCTAAGCCATACTCCTGCAACAACTTTTACAAATCAAATGTCTCTAATATTACAAAACAGGAGACACCCAATTTTTTTGTAAAAGTGACTATAAAAAAAACATCAGATTTTTCTATTTTACTCCTTTTGTTTGAAACAAACAGAACTTCGAAATACACACCGATTAAACCATGAAAAACTTGTATTCATTGTTTATCATGTGAAGAGGATATTTGTCTACAAACCACAAGAGAAGACGATTCATCATATTCAAACGTCCCTTGATGAGGTCCTTGTGCAGCATAGCCGTAGCCCCCAAAGAATATAAGTCTATGAAAACAATTCCAGATAAAACGCACGTAAAATATCTCTCCCATTTCTTGATGACCACATTAACATGTTTTGAAGTGTGTCAGAACATTAAAAGTCACTGAACAATAAGGAAACCCAATTTTGTTTGTTTCTGACACCTTGGGACAAAAAGACATTTCACCAGGTTGTTCTATTGGTCTATTTTTAGTGGGGGTTTGTAAATTGTTATTTCTTTAGATATAATACATTTAAAATATTTTGTGTCAAATGGTTCATGTCCTAATAATGTCTAAATCATTTCAGAAAAACAAGACAGGAAAATGCAGTCTTTCCTCACCTGTTCTTCTGAACCCAGCACCCTAACTTGTCCTTGGATGATGGAGGGAGTCCTTTCAGATCGCTCATTTCCTCCCACACAAGGCTGGGAGCTCTCAGTGGCAGACGGTAGATCTATAAATCACAGCACAGAATACAGGAGTTCTGAAAGATGATCAGCAGAAACAGCAGGCTGACATGCCTCAAGGTCTGATGTGCAAACATGATGCAATCATTTGAAAATTTGCTTCATGCAACACAGAAACTGTACCCTGTTTGTGTTTCCCCTGGCATGATGACCTCCAAATAGGTAGAGGACTCCATCAACACACACCCCACAGCTGCCTGACATAGACATGTGTAGGTTACCTCCGGCTATATGCTTTGTCCTGCAAACATGAGGTTTTTTTATTTTAATTTTCTTCTTTATGTGTAAAATGACTACATGATAAAGTGCTGATGACAATGGTATCAATTCTCACCATACACCTGACTCCATGTTGTATGTCCAGATTTCAGTTCTCGGCAGATACAAGTCAAAAAATCCGTGGTTTTGAGCATTCTTGTACACAGGAAGGATAAAATATAAATAGATTAATATGGAAACGGTGGGGGGATAACACAAATGTAACGAAAGTGCAGTTTTAGGACATATACTTACTTTGTATCCACCCCACACATACATGACATTTCTGTCAACAACCGCTATATGACCACTGCGCTCAGCTGGGGTGTCCAGCTCAAACGATTCAGATGCTTCAGTGTCTAAGAGCTGCTCATCCTCCAACTCCTCCACCTCATCTTCCTCCTCGTCCTCATCCATGTCGTCATTTACCATCCAAGCAAACAGTCTGTCGTCTTCATCTCTGTCTGAGTCATTGTCATCTTCTCTGGCTGGCAGATCCCCAATGTCCTCCTCCATCTCTGCCATCCTCTCGGCCATGCAAGTCTCTTGTGTCTCCTTTCAATGCAAGAAGAGAGGGAGAGAAATCATCTAGGTTAGTGTTGATAGGATTATTTTATTAACTGATTAGTTTGTCCAATAATCCAAAAATAGGATAACAGAAAACGACCCACATTCAAAACACTGGAAATTACAAGTTTTTTTCAGCTGGTTATAAGAAAACAGGACACAGCAGCAGCGGCATATTCTCTTTGTGGAAGGTGCAGAGTTTTTCCTAGATCCAAACATTGAGCTTTTTAGTCCACTTCATTTTGTTAGCGATAATTCAGCTATTTCAGGACAACGGACCACACAACGTTAGCGTATCTTGCAGCATGATTACTGCTGACCTACTTTGCTAGCTTAACTATTTAGGTTACTGTATGAACGTCAGCAACTAGCTTAGCTTTTGCATCAAAGAGAAGACGAACTAATGACTAAAATTAAAAGGCAAAATTAAAACTGTCTTAAATTTCTTGGCTAGTCACCCCTAACAGCTGTTCCGTTAGTCAACGTTAATATGGCCATTAGCTACAGAGCTTTTGCAAACTTCAAAATCCAAAACACTCGATTCAGAGAAAGAAACGTTGTGACATCATACTTGGCACGTTAGTATCTAAGCTCGCCTACATACAAATTCGGCGCTTGGTGAAATACATTCGCACCTGTCGTTACTTTACCTTGTCAGATGTTTTGTTTTCCTGTGAATTTCAAAAGCAGTACGCCATTTATGTGAGGTCATCACAAGCATTCTGGGGGCACGACCGGAAGTTGTCGACTTCTTAAATCCGCCATCTTGATAAGGTCAGTATAAATTAGATAAACCGTCACTTTAATCATAAACAGGGTACATACGATTATTTTTTTAAATTATTTTCTACCTGATGGTTTTAAAGACCTCTCAATTTACCAGTTCTCACCCCAAACAGGCTTAAGTCATCCATACAAAAGCCCAAAATTTTTAAAAATATGTCTTTTATTATTATTATACAAAAGAAACTGGACAAGCTGGTCAAAAAGGCTGGGTCTGTGCTTCCAATAATACCAACTATTATTGTTTATTATTAACTATTAGTGTTACTATTGAGCTACTGGATGATTGAATTTCCCCTAGGGAATGAATAAAGTATCTATCTGTTCACCTGATTAACTCCTTTCATTAATAACTGTTTGCAGCAATAGCCCATTACTTAAAAAATATAAAAAATACAATAAAATCTAAATGTGTAAAATAATATAATGATGACTGCGATTTCTCTCAAAACTCTATAGTCTACCAGGTCTTCAAGGCAGACTGCTCAGTGCTGTACAAAATCAACCATTTTCAAAGTAAGGCTAACTATCGTGTAAACACAAAGAGGTCAGAATATTCAGTATACAGAATAAAATCTTTATTATTCATGAAAGAACATACATACAATCTATAAAACACTACTATGAGTTGATTACTAGTCCATTTTAAACATGAAGTATCATACAAAGGCAATGTACAAAACAAATAAAAACAGCTGCACTTGTAAATCCATGATTTTCTTTAGAGCCCTTGAAGTTTGCTGCAAGAACAAACAGATCAGTATGAACATTAGTGATTGTTGAAACTACAGTAATTTGTACTGAATGACCTGAAAAGAAATAAGTAGAGCACATCTTACCTGTCCTCAACAGTCCTGTTGGATGGGTAATACACCTTAAATGTGAAGCCACTTCTTGGGAAGGAGCCCTGTCATAATAAATAAACGACAAAATATATTAAGTGATAAATAACATGAGGTCACATTGAGGCTATAACACAGAGATATAAATTATACAACCACCAGTTGGAAAAACACATTTTATCAGGTTAGGTCCAAAGATAAAATAAATACATGTTTTAGTTAAGCTTATTTTATTTCATACTGGGTTGACACAGAGGCAGTCCGTGTTGGTGATGCTGAAGGGGTCGTATTTGTCTGCAAAGATGATGACATCAGGGACTGGGTAGACATACAGGGAGTAGTCGTAGGCCCAGAATACAGGACTGACGTACGGAGGCAGTGGAGTCAGGTGACCCTGAGACAGGATGGTCTTAACAAACTGGTAAAAAAAGAATGACAAAATCATTAAATTACAATTAAAAATTACAGAAATGTACATGTTGTGTTTAGTCAGAAATGAGACCAGTCTGGGTAAAATGTTGAGCTGAGGCTTAATCGGTTCACCATCAACTCATTACTTTGAAAGTTTTTTTAGATAATGACTAACATTTAAACACTTTGTAGCAAATAAAACCTTCAACAACACAATTATGTATGTGCGTTGAAAGAGAGAAATTTCTCTCAAGTATGAACAGGTTTGTTCAGAGAAGCTGAAACTCACATGGTTGGGAATGTCAAGATTGTTATTGGGCAACCGCACGCAGTTCCTGCACATCTTGTTGACCAGGTCTTCCCTGATAATGACGATCTCCTGGCTGCAGTACTGGATCCTGACAATGAAGGTCAGTTTTACAATGGTTTCTGTCATGAGTCTGGTCACATTTTTCTCAAAGCCTGTGTCTGTCATTTGTAAAATCACTTAATGAATATTGCTGTAAAACCCTGATCAACCCACATATCAAATATGTTCACATGTAATAGAAGCCACATATTTGTTTCACCTGCATGGGTTAGTCGTGAACACTGAAAATGGCACCTTCTGTCTGAACTCCTCTGTGATGTGGTCTGCCAGGGGAGGCCTGTGGGAAACATATTTATTCACATCTGTCCAAACGACTGAACACAAATCACATAATTATGTCAAAAATCACATCTCTGAATGTTTACCTTGGCAGGATGGTGCCTGGACCAGGGTCTTCAGGACCAGGGACAAACACAAAGCGACTACTGCAGGTTTGAGATGAACAAATTTAAATTCAAACGTATGGTAAATCTGAATAGTTAAGAATAAACCTGAGTATACCAGAGTAACAACTTTGTCAGATCCTACCTGCTGTGAATGTTAGGGTATGCACATATGGCATCAGCAAGGGCCTTCAGTGACTCTAAAGAGAGAACAATGAATCACATTCTAAAATGCAGGCATTCATCCCTTAATTACACACAGAGATCTTAAGAAGTACAATAGGTTATGAGTGATGAGGACCCAAAAGTTTCACCTTTGAGCGATTTGATCTGTGTCTTTCCATATGGGGCAGAGGAAAAGTTTCCACACAAAATGAAACAGGTGGGAGGCATCGCAGCATAGCCTGTAAGAAAAAAAATGATAAATGTGACTGGTGTCTCATAGAGTGTTCATTCTTGTCCTGTAAAGTTTAAGACTATGATGCAGTACCAGACCTGAAAACATGATGTTGAGCTTTTCCATCACTTCAACGTTGTCCAGCCACACATCAGAAACAATTACAAACATGGCGTCCTCATTCTCTTCCTCCAGCTGCTTCAGCTTGGCAGAGGCCTTCACCGAAGTGGTGGATGGACCACCAAAGAAGTTCATGTTGCCATAGTATGCCCTGGAAATGAAGCAAGGACCATGTCGTGTGGGAGCAGGAGATGGATAGTGAAAACTAAGTTGAGTAAAGGTAACTTAATGAAACCTGAACCTTAACCTGAAAACATGATATTATTTTAATTAACATACCACACTGTAATTGGAGACAGCCTCCATACTCAGCTACAGAGAAATTTTTGCCAGGTTGTGCCTGTCTGGTTGACATTGGCAATCATGTCTGACTTCAAAACTTAAAAAATATGGTATTTTCCTTCATGTTGCTTCACTGAAATTTTCAGTGCATCCCAGCAATAACAAACTAAAATGACTTCACACACAACAAGCTACAGATTCACCCCAATATCTAATGTGAAGTTGCATATATCACTACACAGACAGCTAACTACTTTAGCTTGCAATGAGTTTGTCTAAATCCTTTTCCCTCAAACCAACTGACCTTGTGCCTGATGATGGCTCTGTTGGTGGAAACCCAAACCCATTGACATGGAAAACAGAGTCCTCGTACCAACCTATAGGACAAAAGGCAAAACTTTATCTCTAATGATGTGTTGTTATTTTAATCTTAAAGCATATGTCTTTTATTCTCTCATTTTGTTAACTGCAGTTGTAGTAGTAGTCATTATCTTACCCTCTGCCAGTACAAAGCAGGATTCAGTGTACAGGCCATTATGAAACTGGTACGAATGTTGTTAAGGAATACATCCATTTTAAAAGCCAAAGCTTCTTGCACAATACAAATCATTATTTGCTGACAGACTCCCACAAACAGATTAAAGGATATTGCTTTGGACATGTCCAGTTGTACTGTTCCACTTGGGTCCTCCAGGTAGAATTTACCCTTAAAAATTGTTTAGAAATATTTTAGAAACTAAAATAATAAAAAAAAATCAACAGACAGAAAAGTCCCGAATTAAATAATTTTTAAGAAACTAGAGAAGTCAAACTTCTTCTGTGTGAACTTCTCCATATAAACTTAAATATAAAAACTAATCTGTGTCACCACCTCACCTCTTTCAGTTGTGTGATCATCCCGAGTACAATCACCTCTCCCAGTTTAGCTGTGCTACCAAGCAATGCTTCAATTGTCTTTAGCTAAAAAGGACAAATGACAACAAAACAACCTGCTAGTAAAATGCAAAACAGTAAAATGGGTTTCATTTTCAGCTCAAAATTAATAATTAAGATTTGATACCTGAAATTTGTTTTGACCCTCTTCAACAGCAGCTCCAATAGCAGGTGGGGTGAAGAGCTCGTGCCGATGTGTACGCTAGAGAAAATATGTCTTTATAAATACAACACGCACTACTACAAAAACTTTAATCAGCAGTGAGAACGGCCAATAAAGCACATCATACTGACCTGTTGTAAGATTGTGTAGCGCTCCCTGAAGAGTTCAGCTTTGTCTTTGGCCAACCCACACAGACTCGGGGCTGGATGTCTGGTCATACTGATGCTGAATGAAAATGCCAAAATATAACTTTAAAAACTGCCTACAAGCAACAGCATAACACAAGGTCTGCAGTACATGTAAGTGTATACACTAGATCTGATACCAGCAGCATGAAGAAATCTTTTTTGAAATATTTAGGAATATTTGACACAAAGGAGAAAGAAACTGTCCCTATACTCACGGTAAAAATTTCTTCCGCTCCACGCTGTAAATGTATCTGGGCACATCGAAGGCTCCAATGATGTTGAAAACATTATCTCTGGGAGAGAGTTAAACAGCTTGTATAAGATTTTCTCTACAGCACAATAAAGTAGATTACGCAACTATAACTTATTATGAGTTGATGTCTCGTTATGATTACATTATTAATATATTATATACGTGACTGTGGTCCCTGAATAACCAACATTAAACACTCATTTGTACAGATGTTTTAGGATTTGTTAAAAAAAAAAAAAAAAACCTAGATATTTGTGCATGCTGCTATTTTGTATTTTACAACATAACTTGCATCAGGATAAAATCACTACATATATAAAAACAAAAAAAACCTTAAGGAAGAAAAAAAAGGATTGATCATCACATAACCAAAAAACAAAACATTAATTAATAAAGAAAAACTTATTTGCAGCCCCACTTACATGGTTTCATCACAAGACTGAGTGCAGTCCTGCACAGCGGTTTCCACCACAGACAGCTCTATCATACTAGAGGACACTGTTGTAAAAAACACAGAATGCATTAAGTGCTGCATACAGCAGCAGATTGAACATTAAACACACTGTGTAGAAATGTGTAGAGACTGACTGTACTGTACATACATGGCTGCTTTTCAACCGCATCCAGGACCCTTTCAATAACATCATCCAGTTCAGAGGGACTTACGGACTCCAGCACCTCTACAAGGTATCTGCTGGCTTCGCTGGAGCACAAAACAGCAAAAAAGAAAAAACATATTCTTATTGTTTCTTCTTTTAACTAACAATATAAAACTACAAAAAAACAACAAAATTTCCTGAAGAAAATGTATCCGCGTGCATTGAAATGTTATTTTCCTTTTCAGACAGGGTTACAGGAGATACAGTTAAAGTTGAAGTACTAAGGGAGTTGAAGTGTCAGTTACCTGTTGCAGCTGTACACATTAACTCATCACTTATTACAATGTAGTAACTTACGTTTGACATATTTTGATGCTCACACTTATGGACTTTTGCTTATTATTTTGAATGCAACTTTGACTTTGACTTGTATATTTACACTGTGGTATTGCTAGTTTTGTTAAAGTAAACGGTCTGAAAATTTCTTCCACCACTGGTCTCTGTAAACAGTTGAACTGGTAATGTGTGTGAAATCAGTGAAAGCAGGTGGATCCTAGTTTAAAGAGTAGGGAATGAAAGCAGTTGAAATATCAGTTGACTTGTAAACGCTGAGCAATTAAACTGTCAGTTAACGTGTAAGAAGTCTTTGTTATGTTGTCTTCACTGAGGCACAAAACAATCTAAGAGCATGGAAACCTGCTTGTGTTATTGTTGTTTATTTCCTGTTGCCAATAGTATATAATTAGGCATAAAGTATCGACCATTTATCCCTGTCCTTGAGTTGACGGATATACTGTTACCTCACCACGCGTAGCACTAGCTTTAACTTTAGCAAAACATTTTAACAACGTTTAACCATGACTATAATACATACGGTCGCAGTATTAGTCCCCGCATCTTGAAGCCAGCCAACACCTTTGTCTTTATTTTGCGAGCAACATCCATGTTTGTTTCTGTCCCTCTGCCCAACTCAAGCTTTGGCGCTAAATGCGAACTTCCGCATGTATTTCATCACTTCCGCCGAAGAGTCGCGCAAAAGCAGTCAAGAGAGGAGTCTGTCCATAGCACACTGTTTGTTCACCTGCCTGTGAATTCACATGAAAAGAAAATTTTGGGATGAGAATAATTTAACACGTTCTCTTTTAAAACTGGGGGTATCAGTTTTTAAAAATCACACACAAAGACATTCAACAAATAAACAAAACCTTATTTTGCATACCACATTAAAATCAAATCACAAGATAACAAAGTGAAGTAATGTAGTAAATGTAGTTGTTGTGAAATGTCCAGAAGTTAACAGCTCATGCTGGTCTTGTACAAACGTAGAAACTTTTCATACCTGTGACAGTTTCAGAAATCAGGTGAACAGGAAATGGGGCGTGCAGGGAAGAACCAGGTGCAGCGGGGTGCAGGGTACAGCTGCCAGCCTTCATGGACTGCGCACAAAAGGGCATTGGGCACACAGCGCGACAATTTGGATTTAAATACGGAAGACAAAACACAAGAACCATGCCTGGCTCTGAGAACAGTCCGCGGTCAAAATACTCTGAAACGCCCACTAGACTGTATGTTTGCACGAAGAAATCAACTGCCCTGTACCGGAGGTATGTCAGACAGCATCAGAGGTTTTGACTTGGTGGCTTTGACTTTACTTTCTCAGCAAAGTGGTTTGAGAAAATGTACATTTCTTGATGCTTCATGTGAACAGTGCGACATCGGCTGGCCAGAATGTAAAATAGGCAAACACAAACGTTTGTAGGCTATATCACAAACAAAATATTAGTATAAGGGAAACCATTCTTGTATTGTATATTCTAAGCATGTACCTACATTTATAGTAATTACTGTAAAATAAATCTATGAGAAGCAACCTTGGCCGAAACTGAGTACTTCACTTGCACATACATGCATACTATCATGCATATACATAAATACAGCGTATTTATGTATATGCATGTGTCCGGAAAGGCACCACACTTTACCGGAAGTTGCTACCACTAAGTGACACACCAACCACCAATAAATATAAAAGAAGATGCAAAGACACATGTGGAGGCCAAATGTATTATGGCGGTCAACAATGCACCTCAGACTGAAGCTATCTCTTTGCTGCAGACTGCAGGGATCAAATATAAATTAATTTTAAAATGTGCTTCTTTGGCTCTAATGCAGCCTCTTCTCCCTGTCTGTAGTCTGGTTCTGAAAGTTCCCACACAGTGTGCGACACTGAAGTTACAAGTAGAATTTTTAACCTAATTTCATATGGTGTTATTTTTGTGCCTCATTCCTGAGCGCACATTGGGACTTTCTGAGTAGACAAATAAATTTTGCAAACTCAATTTATATTTTGAAGAAAAAATGTTTTTAAGCAAATACCTTAAATTCAGCAAACAAATTTATTCTGTGCTCAATAATTGTATTTCTCAGTTTGCTATTATCCACATAGTCGCACAAAACTAATGTCCCTCACTCAGTTTTAGTCAGTTGTTCTCAAAGATCTCTGCTCTGTGCACTGCCAGATACCTGCAAGCTTGCTCACACTGTCTCCCTTGCGCGCTCAGTATGTCTTCTCTGGCCTCACTCAACCCTGCTGCACACTCACTCAACATTTCGCAGCATTATAATGTGCCACAAAACCTGCCAATCACAGACTTGGAGAAAGTAATCCAGATTGTCTGTTTCGTCACCAATTAGGTCGCTTGTACTGTATTCCAGATGCACTGTTTAAAAACCCAGTACAGCATGTACTACAAAGGCTTAGTCCTAAACACTGCTGCATATCATCCCCTCTCTCTCTTTCCCTGACTTTGCTGTCCCAATATGCGCTCAGGATTGAGGCACAAAAATAATAATAATAATAATAATAATGATAAATAACTTTGTCTTTCACAGTGTCTTTGCTACCTCACCTCTGATAATCATTTGTTCAGTTTTACAAAGTCTTATTTTTCTTACAAAACATGAGGTTTAAGTGGGTGGTTGATAAATCTTTTATGTTCTTAAGTCCTTAGAATGCTTCAAAAACATTTCACAGTCAAAAGACCAGCTGTTTAAAATGTCTTTGTTTGCCCTGCAATGGAAAGTCATTTTATTTAATACATTTACCATTATGTGTTTTCATAGGGATGCCAGAATCAACTCAGGCCAGAACTACACCTTACAGCCCATCACAACCAGCAAGAAATGGTAAGTCATGCGTATGACTCCACCCTACACATATATGGGCTCAAATTAGGGTCGAAATGATTTTGAACTTGTAAAGTCATTATTTATTGAAATGTTTGACTTTTAATCTGAAATTTATATTTATATATATATATATGTATATAATACAGTATATATCTTATCAACATCTTAACCTAAATTAGAAATTTAAAAAATGGCACGTTTTCTTTTTGGGAGGCTTTGTGAGGCATTGTAACAAATGTGAGGATGAAATCAACTTCCTCTCCTGCCTCCCAAAAAATTCACAGCAGTACAGAGGAGGATGTTTTTCTAGAGGCCTTCAAACAAGCATTACCATTAGTTAAACATCTTAAATGCTAACAAAAAGGCATTATCATATAGATTATTGTTTACAGGAGTAGTAGCACTGTCATTTTTATTGTGAAAAATGTTTTATGGTTTGTATGTTCTTGTTTTTAATACATATTTACATATTACCCTTTTCTTCTCTATATTTCTGGTTGAAATGTAGGAAGAAAGAAGTACTGAGTGTCTTGTTATTTCTGTTACAGTCATATAGGGATCCTAAAATGCTTTGTACAGATAGAATCAGGACACTTAGAGCTTTCAAAATATATAATTCTTGTCAAAGTTGGGTGAAGGCTGAGCCCTGTACAAACCAAAACACACCTCACAACACCAAGGCCAACATGTCTCACAGGTGGGCCTATTTTAAAAGCTTACATATGTATTTAATTTTTCATGGTTGTATAAAATATTTCCTGATTTCATTTACATAGTTAATATTTACAACATTTTATTGGACACCAAACACTTTGGGTGCCATATACATTAGTGGTCAATGAGGATTTTACTTTGAAAAAGGAAGAGAACCGGAAGTTTTATTTTATTTTACAACCACTTTGACACAGCGACATTAGCAGAGAAACGACGGGTAATTGCCGTGTTTACGTTACGCGGACAAGATGTTGTGGTTTTCAAAACATGACAAACAATTGTAAGATCGACTAAAAGTGTCCCGTACTCTGTGAGTATGTTTTAAAAGTGTTATTATGCAAATATTTGCGTAAAATGTTTCTGTATTCCGTACACGGTTGCTATTTGTTTTACCGACCACTATGTAACCTTATGTTACGTATAGGCTGTAGACAACAAGTTTTGTACAAATAGTACCGTAGAATTTACTGTATTTTATCTTAAACCTATAAGAACAATATGGTTGTCTGGTGTCAGGGCTCTGCCCGCAGTCATGTGTTACCCTTGCTTCAATAGTGTAACTGAAGATGAGAACGTAGGGGACATTTTTAGACAGATTCTTATTATTTCAGGCTCAAAGGCACGCTTTCCCTTTCTATTAATAACAGCCGGTCATGGATTCCGTATTTGAGAGGCACTGCTCGGAGCTGGTGGCCCGAGAGAGGAGCGGACACACGGCTGTGGTGGAGGAGAACCTGCTGTATGTGTGGGGAGGCTACATGGTGAGAAACAAATACTCAAACGGCCTGTTTAACGTGTTTAACTGTTCGCTTAAGGGATACATTTACTGAAGTAGTGTAACACAGTAATCCCTTGGTATTTATACGAGAGTAAATGTACATTTATTGCCACATATACTAACACTGAACTACATCTCAGATAGGAATATTAAGAATATAGTTATTGTTTACCTCTCAGAAACAGTTTTTCAAAACATATAATAATAAAATATGATAAACCTACCAAAAATTATGTGAAGTTGGTAACTACACTTACTACACATATAACATTAAAGTAAAACTGCAACTAGCAATTATTTTTAAATTTTTGATTAATCTGTCAATTATTTTATTTTTCTTGAAAAATTACTTTAATTATTAATTGATTATTAAGATGGATGTAGATTCATTTTCTTTTGATTAACTAATAAATCAACCCACTAGTGCAGCTCTGTATTAAATGCTGTTCACATGTTAGTGCATCAATAATAATTCAGTATTATTATAATATATTAAGGCTGATACACACACACACACACACACATATATACATATATGTATATATATGTGTGTGTGTATATATGTATGTGTGTGTGTGTGTGTGTGTATTGACATGACAAGACAACAACATTTTGAAATGAACTGTCCTGTGTAACAATTATTTCTTTTACTCTTACTTGTCCTGAAGTAGTTTTACTATGTGGTATTTCTACTTCTGCTTATGTACAGAATTTGAATACTTTTATTGTACTGGTCATACAGTACATATCATGTCTGTGAATGTTCTCATTCGTCCAGGTCATAGTTATCTCTCTCTCAAATTAAATCGAAGGCAACTGGACTTGTATTTGTATTTGGTCTCTCTAGTCCGCACTAGTCTGACGGTCAGACTAGTGCGGACTAGAGAGACCAATACATGATGAACTGATGAAGCCGCTTGGATAAGAGGCGAAACGTCTTCCACAGACAAATACAAGTCCAGTTGCCTTCGATTTAATTTGAGAGAGAGAGTACATATCATATATAGCTAAACCTGCCTTAAAAGTTTAGATCGGTAAAATGAGCACCAAAATCTTACATTGCAATGATAGACTTAGGACACATTGCTGATGCACACATTTATTTCATTGTAATAAACACATTTTATTCTCTACAGTCAATTGCTGATGATGAAGTTTTCCTACCTAATGATGAAATCTGGGCATATGACCTGCAACAAGGTGTATGGTAAGAACATTAAATGAATTCCAAATATGCCTGCCTTTTGTCAAAACGGAGAACAAACTAAGAATAGTAATGCATCTTTACTCGTGACATTCACTGTCTTTTCTCTTTCTGGTGATTGTCACAAACACATACAATGTAACATTCAGACTATGTTTGGACTGATAAGTACTTGCTTGGAGCGTTTTATTGTCACCTCTGTTGTTGTAAAAGGCGTCATGACGTGTATCTGAGTAGAATATCCACTTTTTTTTTTTTTTTTTTTTTTTTGAAGGGAAGTGTTTCACATGACAGGGGAAGTTCCTCCCTCCATGTCTGGGACCTGTGGCTGCTCCCTGAATGGACACATGTACATATTTGGAGGTTGTGATGACAATGGACAGACCAATCAGGTGAGGCTGATAACTGGCACTCCACACAGTCCATGACACTTTAATTATGATTGAAATAGGTTCAATGAATGAATATTGCAGTTCTTAAGAAGTGATCAGTATTTGCTTTCAAACAGATCTACTGTGTCAACCTGACAGATGGAAAATACACGTGGAAGAAGATCATACATGAGATGGGTTCTCCTCCCTCACCTCGAGACAAACTGTCCTGCTGGATTTATAAAGGAAGGTAAGCTCTGTCAATTTCAAGACTGCTCTTTCCTCTAATTCTGGGAAAGTGTCAGTGTAATGTAAAGTAAAGTGAACTATTACTCCATAATTACTGCCTGTTAATGCCACACAGATTTGACATCGAGTTTGACACTGTAACCTTTTGGGTAGTTTTCCCTACAATTCTCTATTGATTATGTATGTATGTATGTATGTATACATGTTTTGGTTTATTTTCAAATGAAATATTTTACATTATTCTTTGACTTATGTATAATTGAAAACGTGACAGTAATTGTGGGTATCTTTCTTTAATACAACCCAGGATAATCTACTTTGGAGGATATGGTCACAAACTACTGACTGATGTTGACAGCAGGAACAGAAGCTTCATTGTAGATGAAGCTACATGGGTAACATTTTTTTATTGGCCTCTTTTTTTATATGAGATTTTGTTCTAAAATATGTCAGGCCTGAAAGGGAGATATTTCAGCATCTGGTCTAAAAATACCAAGGAAACTCTACAGATGTGTATTGTGATTCTTTTTGTATTAAAAACAGTAGAAATCAATTTCTTTGCCCCTTAATAGTCATGTTGTTGTTTTCAGGTGGAGGATGTCTTCTGGGGATGGAACAACGAGGTTCATATATTTGACCCCATGGAAGCCAGTTGGAATGAACCACAAACCCATGTAAGTTAGTTAAAAATGTGTATATATAGATTTAGATTAGTGACCTTTATTTATGATACAGATGAGTGAGCAGTTTTGGAAAACTGTGGAGAAAGCTAAAATGTTACAATACCCTAAAGATTATTCAGTGACGGTGCTTGTGTGCAGGGTCGTGCTCCTGCCCCCAGGGCTGCCCACGCCAGCGCCACACTTGGCTGCAGAGGATACGTGTGTGGAGGCAGAGTTATGGTGAGAACTCTACATGCTATTGAGTTCTTCTCTCATATCTACACACAGTCAATAATATACACAAACATGAGTCAAAGTCTGCCATTTGTAAGTTGTCCTCCTGTTTCTTTGAACTCAGGAATCCAGGACGAGTGACATTCACTGTCTGGACCTTGAATCATGGACGTGGTCAGAAATGTGCGTATGTGATTGTTGTGACCAAAGAGAATCTTATGTCATGAGAATTTCCTCCTTTGTTTTGCGTCTTTCCTGTTTTTTAGGGATTTTCTTTTGTTTCACATAATAGTGCGGAGACGTCGAAAAACATACTTATTCTCGTTAGGGTTAAGGTTAATGCTACTACTAGGTGTTATGTTTTTGCCAAGTTTGTCTTTGACTGTATTGTGCAATATATCTTTTACAGAATCCCAGTGACCAACAATCCAGTGGGCAGATCGTGGCACACACTCACAGCAGTATCAGACAGCACCTTGTTCCTGTTTGGAGGTCTCAGTGTAGACTGCAAACCAATGAGTAAGAAAATGCACCTACTTTTTTTTTTACATTTATTTCCTCTGTTCCCTTAATTTTTTTATGCTCCTTAACTGTTTTCTTTTCATTAAAAAAACACATTTCCCTCTATAAGGTGATGGGTGGCTGCTTGATGTTGAAACAAAGAAATGGAGAGAAGTGGAACATCCCTATAAGAACAAGCCAAGGTAGCAAATTATCAGCACTTGGTCATTGTGCATTTATGAATGACCCTACAGTTCCTGGTGTATTTATTCACTTGACAGATGGTAAGATAGTTTTCTGTAAGAATATGAGCAGATTTTAAATTGTAAGTCTTCTCTTTTTTCTCTTACTCAAGGTTGTGGCACACAGCGTGTCCAGGGAAAGACTCTGATGTTGTTGTGTTTGGTGGAAGCTGTGACTACATCCTCCTTGTCGACACTGTAAGTATCACAGACAGAAGTTGAAAAGTAGTTGAAAAAATTTCTAATTCTACAGACCTTTGAAAATCATCACGACTAAACTAAATTGGTCTTTTCCAAGAAAAAAAAAATCTGAAGCCTGCCTGAATTCACATGAACACAGGCACAACTCCAAATGTTTGTAAAAGAAAGTACTGCATGCTGCTGAATATACAGTCTTAAGAAAAATGACACAACTCAAAATTGACCTTTGCAAACCTTGCATCTTTCTCTACAGGGTCACTGCAATGATGCTCTCGTTTTCCAGATGCAACCATATCCTCTATTCAGGTAAAAAAAAAAGTGTTATATGTTTATCTTTCACATCATAGAGAATTTTTTACGAAAAAGAACCACAGAAACAAAATGCATATTTTAATGCAGCAATAGACATTTATGCAACAGACATTCTGACTTGTCAAACACAAGTGAAATGAATAACATCTAGAGCCATTGTTAATATTAGTTTCACCTGTGATTCTCCTGCTATTGCAAGTAAAAATATCTGCTGATAAAAAGGTCTATTTCTTTGTAGATCAAGTTATATTTACTTTAATTGTGCAAGCTTTTTCCCAAAATAGAAATGAGAAATGACAGACTTTTTATTTTCTGACAGGATTTGTGAGGATTACATTGCCAAGAATGTGAGGAACAATGATATGCTCAGAAATCAGCTTACTCTCCTGCCTCCTAAACTGCTCACAGCAGTACAGAGGAGGATATCTTTCTACAGGCCTTCAAAGAAGAAACAGTGTTAATTAAAAGAATGTGCTAAATGCCAAGAACAATGCAATAACATACACTTGTTTTTATTTAAGTACTGTACTCCCCTCAGTGTGATCATCTTACTCACACTGTGGGGTAGCATTTTTATTTTTAGAAAATACTGTGCAGAATATTTTATGGTGTTATATTTTATTATTTTATTGTTTTCCAGATTTAAATTTTTATTTTGTACACTCTCTCTACACAACCCTCTAACAAACTGATCCCAAGATAATGATGATTAAATGACACTGAAAAGTTGTTGCCTGATGTGGATTATTGGACAACTATTTTTATATATTTTTATATTAAGCAATTAATTATAACACACAACCTCACACACACAGTTCTCCCAGAGTATTCACGAGATCAAAAATAAAGCATAGTCCATTTTTATTTGCAGTAAAAAACAAAATTACAATTTATTATAAAATCTGTTTGAAATGCAGCTTTCCTTTTAACAGTGACTGGTGGACTGTGTTGACACATTAAGTATTTACATGAATGCCCAGTATGTATTCATGCACGAAACTACTCTGTTCCACCACTAAGTGGCAGCAGGACTTTATGTTTAAATGTGGCTGAGTCATCAGCAGAAATGGAGCTGGGTCAAAGTGAGCCTGAGTGAAAGTCTCTCTCTGTTGCCACACATTCCTTCTTCATAAGGGTGGAGAGGTGCAGGAACTGTGGTCAGGAAGGAAACCTTAAGTATACAATCCCAGCTCATACCTTTGCAGGATTGCCACTTATGAAATACTAAAGCCCTATACTGTGCGCACAAAACTACTGGTGGAAAATGTTATCTTTGCATTTAGCGAATTACAAGGCCTTAAGAATGTGCTTTTACCACTCAAATTGTGCTAAACTACTGAGTTTCAGCGATCAGAGAAATGGCTGTGTTCTCCCCTTCACCTATGAACAGACAAGTTAAAGTTAAGTAAGTAATAGGTATCAAATAAGTAGATGCGTGCTCTGTGGGAGCCCAGCAAGACTGAGAGGGTGACAGTGACACCTTAGCACAGCAGATAACAAACCAAGGAGGCCTGTGTCAGTTAACAGTGTTGGTCTCTGTGAGGAGAACCTCCTGGCATCAGTTCAAACTGGTGTTATAACTCCTCTTGTTGTTAAGTAAGACTTGGCTAAATGCAAAGTCCTGGGGTCCAGATGTTTAAGTTCAACACAAACATTCTTACATTTTATCCAGGGAACCCTGTGTGCAGTAGCCTTCCTATGTAGCAGAGAATTTGTCAAAAAACAAACAAACAAACAAACCCTGGTTCCCTTTCTCTTTTTTAAAATGTTACTCTGCAAACTGCTGCATCCCATGAAGGTTGCTCCATTGCTGCAGGATTCTCAGCTGGGGGTCAACTAAACTCTCTCTCAATAGTGTCCATCAGCTCCTCTTCTGATCCATCGTACAGGATGACTGGCATTGTAAGAGAAGAGCCATGGCAGCTGCCAAAAGTCCTGGGGAGAGTTTAGATGCTGATTTAAAAACAGGAAATCTAAGTGACATATACGAGTATTTTGATGTGTTATTTTTTCTACCAAATGTAGCATTTTTTGACAAAATCAACCCACAACATTTAATCAGTAAACTGATTAATCTCCTCTTGGTATGTTGCGTAAAAGGTCCATAATAGCGAAACGGCCAGTGGTAAGAAACATGCTGTTGTGCTTAAGGCATGCTTTGTAAATATATTCTCACACTCAACACCAACAAAGCAGCAACAACAGGCGCTTGTTTGTTTCTGTCCTGCTTGCAGACGTCTGACTAATCTGATCTGCACTGAGAACAATGGGCTGGTATTTCGATACCTTTAAGGTGAATTTGATCTGGTTCAGCTCGGCTTTTACTACTCCACTGAGCTCAGAAATCTATTATTTATTACAGTTGTCTACTTACGATTGTTTTTCTGATGTGGGAACAGCTTCCAGCGAAGCACCTCTTTTCAAAAAGCCCTGTGAGGAGGACTGACAGAAACCAGAGAGGAGAGAAAGCACATGATGTGTTTTCATTTCAGCTCTGAACAATTCTCCAGGATCATTGTTATTTTAAAATCATCCAGCTGTTGATGATTTATAATAAACTGGGTTAAAACAGAAAGATGCTTTATCCAATAATAGCTAATGATAATACAAATGGTAAAATAAAACTCCTTACATTGTGCGGACTGGGGCGCACAGGTGTGTGGTTTTTTAAGTGTGTGAAAGCATCATTGCTCCTCTTGTTTACGTCTCTTGATCCACCGTGTGAGCCACGTGGCTCCTCGGCTCTTCCAGACGCTCTGGACCGAGGAGCTGAGCTGACGTCGTCCTCGGTGTCTTCCCGGCTGAAGTGACACAGTCCGTAAGTTTTGGCTTTCATAAAAGATTTCTTGGTAATGTTCTTCTTCACAGAAAGTCTCTCTAGCTCCTCATAATCTTTAAGAACCGTGTCCAGCTCTCCATCAACATCATCGTCCTCCCCAGAGAAGTCAGAGTCGTGGCCTTCGCTGTGGCAGTCCGGTCGCGCACGATTACGCGCGTTGCGCAAAGTTGCATGGATTTTGAGAGGCTTGAATGGATGGCTGTCCTGTTTGGGTGAAGTGACACCGGCAGTTGTTTTGGTCACGTTCACCTCGCTGACACACGCAGGTGCAACTTTCTTCTTACTCGGACCGCTGCCCATGTCCGTGTGTCTGGCTGCTTTAAAAATCTAAATGCAAAGTCCCATTTCCAAAGTCTCCTCCACAGCAACAGATTCCAGAACCACAGATTCTCCCAGAGTTGAATGTTAACCAACAAAGACTTGATGCTTGGCGGTGGGCAGTAAGGTCAGTTTCCAATTAGGTTTAAGGCTGTAAAACAGTTCTTGGGCTAAAAATAAGCGCTGGTGGCCAATTCCCTTAAAATCATCCGCTCCCCATCTGCAGAAATTATCGCATATTCTATGTTCACAGACCGGACTTGAGTCAGAACCGCCGCCTGTAAACTTTCGAGTAACTCCACATCAGATGAGAAGCAGTGTATCCGTTACATAACACCAGTTTAACTCAGGGACCCCAGGGAGAAAACTCCGCCTTCTTATAGTGGGAAACACACACCCTTTATGTTTCCTTTATTTCTACTGAATAGGAGTAACTTACACTTTTATTTTAGCAGCTGCACTTCTGCCTTTAGTTAAACATTTGCCACAGAATTGAATAATTTCTGGTTAAGGAAAACTGAAAGAGACAACTTTTAGAACACATTTAATTATTTAGTCAGTCCTGGGTGCTTGACATAGAGATTACATAAGGGTTTAGACAGTATGAAGATGAAGAGGCTAATAGGGACAATTCGTCTGATTTATCTGTATCACATCAGCAACAATGACCAGCCTATTGCCCGTCTGTGTTCAGCTAATAGATTTTATTGAGCCAAGTGAGATCAAGAGTGAGTGAGTTCCTGTCCGCCCGCCGGGTCCGGGAGGCCCCCGGCTCACCAGCCCCTCCAGTGACTGATTAAGACTGAAGCACTCAGCCACAAGAGAGAAGGGGGCATTCCTTTCCAACAGCTTGGGCTTCCCAGAGATTCCTCAATAAGCTTTTGTTTGGTCCACTTGCACATACAAAAGACACAGTGGGGGCATCTCCCTGCCCAGAGCTGTCCAACAAGAACCCAGAGTCCACCCGAGTAAAGAAGCTGTTTGCCATCTTTCATTAAATGCCTCTTTCGCTCTCTTTCCTTGCTAGTGTGTGCACACACACGTGTGTGTGTGTGTGGGTGGGTGTGTGTGTGTGTGTGTGTTAGTGTGTGTGTCTGTGCGTGTCTGTGTGTGCTCCAGACAGCTGTGCAACCTGTTCTCTCTGGAGGATGACCAAGTCAAAGACACCTGCTGTTCGAGCAACTGGCATTTTTTCTAACTGTGAGTGTGAGAGGGGGGAAAAAAATCAGCCTGCAAGTTCCAGATGTCTCATTGAGGAAATTCCTGCTTTACTGCCTAATTTTTTACAGAACATGTGTAAGATGTCGAAGGTGTTCTTCAAGGGTGGAAAGACTGTGCTTCTTGACTTACATTTTACATAAGCAGAATGCTAAAGCTGAAAAATATTCATTTGCAAGCACAAAAGTTAAAGTTTTGCAGATTACTCTTAGTTGCAGTTACAGCTTCTACATGAAAAGCTCAATGAGGTATCCTGATCATAAGCATGTCAGTACGATTACCTCCTAATAACTAATCTCTCTTCAGTTCAGTGATGCTCTCCAAAGATGTGATCATCTTTTCTTTATATAAAAAAAGAACCTTCTCAGAGAATGCCTTATAGGGAGAGGAGCTTCAGAGAAAAACTGGAACATCCTCCTGACTGTGCAACCACTACATAATTGTATACTGTTGTTCTTGTCTTTCCAAAATTCCAAGTACAAAAAAGTACAAGTACAAGAACAAGCTTGCTTGTCACCCTTGCCTTTCATGAAGTCTTGTTTGTGTTGTTTTCAGGCCCCCATTTCTGTTATTCTCTGCCTGCACCAGTGTATCATTAAAAAGATCTGGCAGCCACATCTGGTGAAGAACTCAACAGCTTCCAGACGAGGGGGAGGATCTGCCGCAAGACGGAGGCCACAGCCCAGCTCACAACATAACTGTGGTTACTCTGACTTCTCCCTGCATCAACAATATTCCTTCACCATGGACTGAGACTTGAAAGACGTGAGGAAAGTTATATCTTTGTGAAACTGTGGTTCTTGATTCTGCATGGTTTTGTACACCGCATCATATCCTACAAAAGTGCGTGTCAAATCGTTTTTTGTGCAATGATAAGTCAGTGCTGTGAGTTGCTTTTGCACTGTTATGGATACTTTTGTTTCCTCCTAACAGCAGGAGAGCATGTGTGAGAAATTGCAATTGTCATGACTCAACTGCTCCATTTGCAGGGAACAAATAAAACTATTGTCATCTTTGAGCCAAAAAAACATTTCTCCCATATGTTTCAAGAGAGTGTTTAACAAGCCAGCTGCCCACTGATAGGCATTCCAGTTAAACTGTCTGGGCCCCTTTACCCCACCAGGTACACAAACATGAACACGACAGGGTCAAGAAGAAACACACGCACACACACACGCACGAGCACGCGCGTACACACACACACACACGCACACACACACACACACACACCACTATTTCAACAGGGTTTTATTTTATCATTTCTAAACTGATAAACAAGTTTATCAATTACCTACGATTAAATGTATGTATTATTGCGCCACAGAAAGGCATATATTTTCAGGTGGGGGTGGCTATAGGGAGGACACATTCATGTTTAACTAAACCTTAGATATTGCGTTCCTTTTAATAAACTTTATACAAGGTACAAAAACTTGATTATGTTTACATACTGTACTGTAAATTAAGTAAAACACCAAAATCTCCTTCTTTGTAGTCAGACAGTAGATTCATCAAGACACTGCACAGACGTAATCGACTGACGGGATGAGCAGAGCTGAGACAGAGGGATATTGTAACTCTGACACAGTGACATAAGGTTGTCAGGGCAACATTCAGTGCAGCCAAGAGGAGTTCAACTGCAGTAAAAGAACCAGGGTCAGCCCTATTTATCTTTGAGCTATCCCTCTTAATCTGCTAGATTACTAAATGTAAATTAAGGCTTTTGCCGTTGTGTTGACGTTGAATGTACGTCACAGAGATGATCTTTTGACCTCTGGAAGAAGTTTGTGGGAAACTTTTTCAGTCCTCACCACAAACCTTTTATTCCCAGTCAACTCATCAATAGTGACATGTCGTATATATATCTCATTGACAGTTTGCTGTAACAGATGAGTTTCTGACCTGCCACAGGATTTGGTTCATGGTGCCCACACAGCTCATGGTGAAAGGTGTGTTAAGGCTAACCAGCAGATGGCGCCAGTGTTCAAGAGAAGTACATTACAGTCTCTTCCCTATTGATTTTTGCAAATAAAGAGACTAAAGGGTCCTTCTACAGGACAATAGGAACACTCACTGCATTTTCAACCATAGCTTTGCTTTGCATGATAAATAGCCTATGTGAGAACAGTTCTGTTGAGATCACAGGGGAACTTGTAATTTGCTTGTGTTGTGTTATTGTAGGGGTTGTTTATGCCAAAATATTCTGTATGGATGTTTGAATTTTGAATAGAAACGTAATAACATTGCACAATATGTCAAACAAGTTGACTTGACTTGGTAAAAGGAATGAAGTAGCTAATTAAAAACAACAATGACCAAAAGGAACCACATTGTAACTATAAGAGGTCACTGGGAATCAAGACAAGGAAATAAATATGGAAATAGAGACAAAAAAAACCCCATTTAATTCATTAAGTGGGACACTGGAACTTTTGCTGGAGGGCAGCTTTTTAATTTTTTTTGTTGCTATTATATCATTTCATTTGGAGTTGTATTTCTGGCCACTAGTTGAATGCTACTCCAACGATCACGCTCTTTTAGCTCTGTTTTTGGTCTCTACCAACTCCTGAATTAAATATCTGGTCCTCAAGCTGATAAATGCTGTATTACGTTCACCAGCTGGTTGCTAACGGTGTATGTCTGCTGTTTGGTGTGAGGAGGTATAGTGTACAGCGGGTTATTAGAGCTTTTTCACTGAAAACAGCTGCCTGCTGCAGCTGAAAACAACAATATGAGAGCAGTGAGAGTGAACCAATCAGCCATTAACAGCAAAGTTATGAACTTAACAGCTAAGCGATAAGCTGAAACTTGTTATGAAACTAAACCAAGGGGAGCTGTAGGTTCATCACTACGAGCGACGCCTTTCACATTGTTGCATTGTTTTCTCATTGTCATTTGTTATTATGTAAAATTTCAAATTCAACTTCAAAATACCATCTTCATCTTAAAGCGACTATAAATGTATTTAGCACAAATACTACCCTGTGTTTGAAGATGAAGTCACAGTGTGTACATTGTAAATAAATAATCTCAGCTTTTTGGTCAGATTTCCCCTCACTTCCCCGCACATTCCCATACTTCTGTATTTGTAGTAAAACACTGTGTACTGGAAGGTCTACTCAGCCCAGTCTGTGGTCACTACTGCAGTGACCCATTTTTCTGTCAAAAGGCCATGTAATCAACAGAAAACAATTACTGCCTCTCTCAGGCACTCAGAGCGCTCAATACCAGCATCTGCTCACTTCCTAATTACCTACTAGGTAAGAGGCTTCATTTGGAGAGAAACTCACAGCAATCAATCCTTGCATTATGCTTGGCTTGTTTGTCAGCATCCTAATGTGTCAGATTGGAAGTGTCAGGTCTGTTCAATTCAATTCTCTTTGATTAACTTTTCCTTTACCTATATGCCTTTTATTTATATATAATTTTTGATTTTTTTGAATTTGTTGCAACTTTTCCACTAATTTAACCCAATGTAAACTTGTGACCTGAAAGTGTATCAGGGTTCACTCCTTAGGCTCATTTTACTAGTTTTCTCCCAGGCTAAGTGCTAACCTGGTTCTGGCTCCACAGCACACTGTTTTGAATGCCTCTCCTTTGTTTAGAGCCTTTTTTTCTATAGCTATTCCAGATACCTCCTATGGCAGACAGTGTGTCATGTTGATTAGAGCAAGTTACTGTGAAGCATAGCCTCAGTCAAGTCCTGGCACCGTAGATGATGTGGAAGAAATACACCAAGGTAAAGCCGTAGTACACCCTGTTTCTAAGAAATCCCTCCTGTTCTCATTGGCTGCATTGTGTGTCTTTGTGCACTTGTAATAGTGTGTTGGAAACAGTTTTCAAAATCAAGCCTTTAACAGTGGACATGAAGAGTCAAAGTCTGATTTGTTCACAATATTTGCTTGTTTTTAGCCATGCTAATGGCGTGATGTGAAGGATGGCTATATTAGTCTGTTGGTTTACTGCTTTGGTCCAGACTGAAATATCTCAACACCCACTTGGTTAGATTGCCATGAAAGTTTGAACAGACATTCATGTTCCCCAGAGGATGAATCCTACTGATCCCTTT